TTGCAGCGGACGGGCAAACGGGTTATAGGGTTTTGATCGTTGTTCTTGAACCATGTTTTTTCTTGATTGGGGCAGAATATGCGTTCAAGGCCGTGAAGGCGTCCGGGATCACGTCGATTGGGGTCAGAGGGAAGGATTCCGTATGTGTTGTCACTCAGAAGAAGGTTCCCGTGAGTGTCTGGTTACCTCGATCTTTAACACCGTCGTGGATGCGATCTTCCCTTTGTATTACGGTATTAATCTTTGTTCTTGTTGTGGGAAAACTAATGCAGGATAAGCTTTTGGATCAGACCAGTGTCACGCATCTCTTTCCCATCACGAAGTACCTTGGACTGTTAGCGACCGGGATAACAGGTTTTCTATATATCTTGCTTCTTTTTGTAGGCGTTTATGTTGCTCGAGTCTATGTGCGGATGCGTTTGGTTGTCTTAGGATTCTGAAGCACTTATATAGCTCCAAATCTAGGAGATTATCACCTCATGCGAAATCTTTGTTTTGTAACACATTTCAAATCGGTGATGAACATAGACACTTCCTGTTTGCCACCATCTTCTGATGGTTGATTGGGCATGAACTATTACATTCATGTGGGAGAAGTTTGAAGAAGAAAAGGGACTGAAAAAAATTTAATTCTATAGTATAGTTTGGTGAAAATGATGAGAGTTCATTTGGAGATAGATTTCATGTCGAGCTTGAAGTGTATGTTAGACAGGCCAGGTCAGTAGCTGGAACTGAACTTGTTCTGTGTAACTGGACTTTTTTTTCCAGGGTGCTTCATAATAGTTCATATCTGATGCTTTTTTCTAGATGTGAGAATAAAAGATGTTTCTAAGAGTCATTAGTTCCATGGTCAGTGTGAATAAACCAATAAGTCAAATGAGTAACTTAGGTCAGATTGATCATTAACAGTTTTTGTATTGAAACTGAGAACCTGATATGTTTTCTGAAACAAAAGCTATCATAATATATTACTTTGAATTATATTTTTTGGTTAAACTAACTTACAAGGACCATATTTTATTTCAAACAAATGCCTTTCTTTCCTTAGAAAAAAAGATTGGAAAATTATCTGTTGATTTCTTATATTAGAAGATTTGATTTATACGGTACTCCTATTATTTTGGATTGAGATGATAAGTTTACCTACAATTTGCTGGTTAATATTTGTATCATTCAATATGATAAGTTTTAATTATGTCATTGTTGTTGTAGCTGATGCAAGATCTTTAGTCCAACAAGCAAGAAATGAAGCAGCCGAATTTCGTTTTAAATGGGGATATGAGATGCCTGTAGATGTATTAGCCAAATGGTATGGTCATTCAATTCTTGCTTATATTTTTTAAAAAGAATGAAATCAATCTCTATAACATTGTGCGAAGTCAATTTATGAACATTCTAGTTATATCTACCAAAATTTTCCAATTAAATTGTGTTTTTCCTAAGATATTGACGAGACTCTCCAATTACATATGCTTTAGAACAGTGACATCCACATTGTAATACTTGCAGTTATCATTCCATAATTGTTATTACTTGCCCCAGTGGACTTTATCTATTACAAATGACGATGTCCATTTTTCCTTAGGGATTATTATAGTTCCTAATATTTGTAGCAAGACATCTGATAAATTGATTCACATCTATCATGGTGAAAGTATTTTGCTTCATGCTTGCATGATATTTATGTAAAATGGGATTGTCCTCTATGTTGCGGGTGGAAACAACAGGCAAAATCATTGTCAGCAGTTATTATTGTTGGTAATTAATGTGTCATGGAGATTTCTTAGATTCAGGAATCTGACATTCAATTGTAGAATCATGGATCTGCTAGCTAGGCTTCTGACTCCTGAAAGAAGTCCACGAGTTAGTTTTTATGGGGTGAAGATTTTGATGATGGTTGGGCTTTTGCGTTGGATGCTCCTTATCTATGTAAAGATTTAGTCCATTGCTCATCCATAGTAGGTTCATCTGGGGGTTAAAGTCAGAATTTGTATAACTACATGTAGCCATTTGTGCACACTGTAATCGGTGAACAAGCAGGTCCTACTAAATCAAGTGTTCAGTGTAATTAAAATATCTGACTTTGGATTAGAATCATTTGCTGGCAGTTCGTTTAGGTTTGATAAATTGCTTTCGATTGGGATCATTGCAAGTATGGCAGAACTTTAAAATTGAAAATGGTTGCCCAGATCAGAAGGTTAATGTTCTGCAAAAACATAACCTTAGTTCTTTTCAATATGCTATATCATTTGTGGTAAACTCATAATATCTGACTTTTGTTGCTTATCAAAAGAGGAAAAGAAAATCTTAGCTTAGAATATTCCGCTTACAATTTAACCTTCCTACCTGTTCCAACCCTCTCTCTCTCTAGGCTTCCTAAGTCAACAAGGATGTTAAAGGTTTACTTCTTTGATGTAAGACCTTAATGCATATGAAGAAACATCGTCTTAACTTACTGTCCTGTTAGTCCTTAAGGCTGGCTTGAATCAAGGTTTGTCGTACCGTGGCATTCCGCTTTGTACGTATCGGTCTGAGAAGGGACTGGTATGGGTGATACATCGGTATGTCCCTATGTACTATGTGTCAATATGCTCGGTATATATCGTACCAACAATTGGTCGGTACATGGGTACAGACCGGTAAAACGAACCATGGCTTGAATATTCCTCTTCTGTCAAATGATAGCATGCCAAGTTCGGCATAAATTTCATTGCACTCCAGGTCAAGGATCAGTTTCATTACTTGCTTAAAATAATTTGATTATTACTTGAATCTATAAATTGATAATCAAATTGGAATTGTAGCTTGTTGGTTAATAGCTTTTATTGACTACCTGTCATTTTCATGTTATTCTGAAGTTTATATCTATCCTCTGGTTTTCCTTTTCAACAGTCTGTGATTTGTCTGTCACCAATATTTTAGTCAATTATATTTATTATTATATTTCGGGTTTTCATGTGATTTGTCTGGAATGCTTTCGTTCTTTCTCTTGATGATTTTTTTATATTTGTAGTCTTATGACCTATATTCTTCTTGTACGTACATACAGGATAGCAGATAAATCACAGATTTACACCCAACATGCCTATATGAGACCTCTTGGAATAGGTTAGTTTCTGAAAATACCTGAGATCACCAACTCTTGGTTTCTATACATCCCCTTTTCTTTTGTTCTCTTACCACTACAATTTTTATTGTGAAGTTGCTATGATCTTGGGTATTGACGAAGAGAAAGGACCTCAGCTCTTTAAATGTGACCCAGCTGGGCATTTCTTTGGGCACAAGGTATGTGATACATCGTAGTGCATCTTTTTCTTGTTTTTTATTTCAGCAGTCTTTGGATATTTACTAAAGATGGATATGAATGCTTATCGAGACTGGAACTAATTTGAAGATGAAATATGATTAGTGCCAGTTCGTGCATTTATTATAAATTTTTTTACCGTTATGTCTATTTATAGACTTAGCATAACCATCACAGATTTTTTTATGACCATTTTTCTTAAAAAGGTCTTGTTGTTATCGTGTCTATATGCTGATTGTGTCAATTTTGTTAATTTCTATGGTAACAAACTCAAATAATATATTTTTTCTACTAGATCTAATACACTCTTATTATAAAGAGAGGTTACAAAATCCATTAAGGAACTGTTCTTTTTTAATTCCCTTTATTCGAGATGCAAGCCAACATTGTATTTATATGCGGCTGTTGACAACTGATACTACATTGTAGCATTAGCTTATTTCTTTCTACAACATTTTTATTGATATGACTCATGTCAATGCATTTTTCCTTACTCTGTTCAATTGACATATTAAGTTGTGAATTGGTTCTAGATCCTTCTGTTTTGTATAAGCTTGATATCTGTTGACTGCAACTATATTTAACCTAATTTCATGACTGGCAAGGCTATAACTAAGTGCAGAAGATAAGCCTTCCTTGTAAAAAAGAAGGCTACTTGTGTGATTGGAATTTTGCCTTCAAGTGTGTAGTTACAATCATGGTAGTAATTGAAATACTACTGTTTCCAGGCCACAAGTGCAGGCCTGAAAGAGCAAGAAGCAATCAACTTTTTGGAAAAGAAAATGAAGAATGATCCTGCATTCTCATACGAGGAAACTGTGCAGGTAAAAATCTGAGGTTTCAGTCAGTATGCAGTAAACATCAGTTGCCTAGCTCAGAATTGTCCATCGGTTGTCTAAAAATTGTTCTCATGAACTTCATGGCTTCCAATTTCAACTTCTTTGTCGTGTTTGCGTAGATAAGATGTACTTTGACTAGGTGATTTTTGTTTGGAATGTCTGTTATTTTGCGTAGATAAGATGTACGTTGACTAGGTGATTTTTGTTTAGAATGTCTGTTATTTTGCATAGATAAGATGTACTTTTGACTAGGTGATTAATGAACTTAGGCTAGTGTTTGTCGTGTATGAATTGATGATAGTAGGTTACATGATTTGCCTGACTTGTTGACTTTTTTCTTGCAGATCGCAATATCTGCTCTGCAATCAGTTCTTCAGGAGGATTTTAAAGCTACGGAGATAGAGGTAAAATCTCTCGACTTAAATGTTTTTGAATGGTTGGACAAAATTAGCCTCAATCGAAAGTTGATAGCCATTATTAACATAAATGTACTTGTCCGATATGGTTAACGTTTGGGTCATTCACCAGGTGGGAGTTGTGAGGAAAGAAGATACAGTTTTCAGAGTGTTGTCGACAGAGGAGATTGATGAACACCTGACAGCAATCAGTGAACGGGATTGATGGCAAAATCGTATTACCGCTGCTTTGATTCGGTTTCGATTGTGGGAGTCGTCTTTAACTTGGATAATACTTTGGTTTCCGTAAAACCAAAAATGTAAAACTGTGGTGCTGCAACGCCTTTCAAGCGGACACGATTTTGTTTTTTCTCCACTCCAGAATTAAGTGTTGACGAATGTCTAATGAGTTAACTAATAGACTTCCAGAACACCAAATCAAAAAGTGTCCACAAAAGATTCTCAGAGTAATTAACTAATCTATGAGTTCATACTCTGGCAAAAGAAGGTACGCAGAATTCCGCCCGCAGATAAACCTACAAAACGTCCATCATTGATAATGTTACACTACCGTTGTACCCAGACAGATGACTCTCTCTCTTTCTCTCTATACACGGTACAAGAATCAGAGTGTGGTCTACTTTCTCTTCTTTCCATATATGTATTTTTTTTTTTGCCTTCTTTTCTTCTCTCCGATCTACAAGGTGTCAGTCAATATATGACGACACGGAACAGACCCGGTTGGTGGTGGGTGTAGTCAAGGCCTTCGTCGAGCAGGTACTGCTCGACTGCCGCAGGGAGCCTGGCGGGAGTTCGAGTGCCCTTGGTATGGTGGCCAGTCCCAACACACACCATCACCTGCAGCCTCTGCCCGGTGGCCCTTGCTGTGCTTCTCAGAAGTCTCAGCTCATGATCTAGAACATGTTTAGCTTCAGTCACATGAAGACCATGGAGATCAATCAGATGATCTTGCCCCCGGCTGTAGCCCTGCATCTCACGAGACTGTGGGTTCCTGGAAAATTACATGGCAAAAAAAAAAAAAAAAAAAAAAAAAACTATTACCAGTGGTGCTTTTATTTACAAAGGTTACAGCGAGTTCAAGAGTGGTGGTTGTTGTTTGGGTTGCAGGAGTGGTGATAGTAACAAGAGGAACTATTCAAAGACATCATCTATTTAGCCCAGGCACAGACAACATTTCAAGTCAGTCAAGGGGCAATACAACTACTAACACTTAACAATTGAAGAAAAACTATGCATGAATTATAATTTGTGTGTGTGTTGTTGTTAGAAACTAGGATGCACGAGTGATAAGCGTCCAACCTTTTTCGGTAAATTGTTTCTTTAGCTTTTTCATGAGCTGCTTTCATCTGAATGCTGTACAACTGACCCTTCATACTCAGTTCCTTGGCTAGAGCCTTGTTTCCAATCAAATAGGCTAGTCTTGCCTGGTAATAATAATCCATAAAGAGGACTTATTAGTTCAAATAACACAGCTAAAATTCCCATCTAAATACATGTAATTCATAATTCCTTCACATAAAACTAGATGTTATTTCATCATAGCAAGAGCCAAACAGGAAACATTTAGAACCATAAAAACAAATCTAATCTTCCCACTCAAGCCAGTAATCCTGAGAAAGTACACAACATGCTTCAACACTATCACATCCTTGTCCTCGATGTGAGCATGTTTCAACCATCTAGGTTCAGTGCACATACTATATGCTTTGATTTTAGTGTGTCTGTGTCCTTCCTCAACATGTTCATCTTAGCTTCAAAATGACCATGTTTCGAACACAATCGTTACACTTCAATAATCCAACATATAAAAAATGTGACACTCATCTATTATTTGCAAGTTCATTTTACCATATTGTTAACTCGACTTTGATGTGTGTTAACTGATTCCAGGAATATTACAGGTGCCAAGTTTTCTAAACTCCAAAGATCCTCTTTCACTTGGTTTCTCCTATTTTTCAGAAACACAATACAATACCATCTGAAGTTTACTTTAAGAAACATCACTTGAAATTTAGAAAAAGAAATTAATACTACCATATTCCATCTGGCACTAGTTTTCCATTTTAAGATTCAAAAAATGAAAAAAAAATCATAACAAGACCATAAGAAAAAGTAATTTGCAACAAACAGAACTTAATATAATGATCCTTCTGAAAACATTAAACACAATCACGATTGCTACCCCGGAGCGGCTGCATGCCCCAAACCAACAAAGGGATATCCAGGTACCTCTAGCATGTAACCTCGATTTTCTGATGTCCTTAGGCCACCACAGCCAACTATTCTGTCTACTAAAGCTGGAACATGCATTGTATTTTATTATCAGGTACAAAGCATATAAGAATATCAAACTCTATGCAAGTCGACGATCAGCCAATAACAACAACCTTATAAATCATTTGTGAACAATGTCTTGAACCTCATGCACTAAAAGCACAATTAAAAGGAGCCATCTACCTGTTCAAAGCATGTGTTTCGAAGGCGTGCAAAATCACGAGCTTCTTCCCTTGACTCTGAATAAATATTAGCTGTAATCTCAAACGAACAAAAAAAAAAACCTTACCTTAAATCCAGTGGAGATTCATGAAAAATGGTGATCAATCGTAAAGAAGCTATCCTAAAAATATTACCCACTGCTTCCCCAGTCTCAAGCCAAACAGGAGATGACCGAGATACACGTGATCCATGCCACCTATCTCCAAAAACCATCTTATTATTACCATTGTATGAGTTGGATAACAGCTGGGAATTTTTACTTGAACCAGCAGCACCATCAGCCGAACCGTTTCTCTCATACCTCCAGTGACCAGAATTCTGTGAGGCTAGCTTCCTAACAGTTGAAGCAAAATCAATATCGCCTCTTGATATACCAGAAGGATATCTATACATATTAGAACCATTATGAGCTTCTTCTCCGGAATACTTTGACAATCCATTCAGAGTGTCTGCTACCGGAAGAGCAGGAAAATCCAATGGGCTAAAGTTTGGAGTGGCCAAGGACTGTGAATTAAGCTTCTGACCAAAACCAGCATCAACCTGAAGCTACAACACAAAAATGTCACTGTCAAGCCCCCAAACAACCTACCGAAGTAGACCAGAAGATATAACTACACAACTTCGAGGCACTATGCAACTAGAAAACATTGCATCGCCCATGATATATTTTCCTTTCAGGTAAAACCGTCAACAAAAATCTTGTACGGCTTGGTAAAGCCTTTACAAGTGACGCAAAGCAAAAAAATTAAGAACTATTATGATATTATCTACTGTACAACTCCTTATGCGAGGTAAAAAAAATCAACATTAGCTCAGAATATAGAAGCAGTTCAAATGAATCACCTAGAAAGATATTTGCAAACGGTCACCTTGTCATCATTTTGTAATAAGCATCGCATGTAGTAATACTACAAATAATAGAGGTACAAATAAAGGGTGTACCCAGTACACGAGGCTCCCGTCAATGCGGGATCTCGGGAGGGCCAATGTACATAACTTTACCTTTAAATATTTAAAGAGACTGTTTCCGTGATGGAAGAAAAGATGAACAAACTTCAACATCACTTTGATGTTAAAAAGGTGCATAGAATGACTTTCTTCACAGTCAAGCTATCTCTACTATGCCTTCCTAGCAAAATACAATGTCAAACAATAAACGGAGACAACCATATTTATCAATGCAACACTTGATGCTTTTGCTTCTAACAGCAACAGGGAAACACTCAAAGAGGTAACACCTATGTCAAATCCAGAAATCTTCCAGAAGACTCTAACTAGCTATTTGGATTTGTTAGCTTTAGGAAGACATTAAAGAACATTCTTCTATGCATTGAATAATACAGCACACCATGGACCATCATGGTTCCAAATAGACCTAAGACATCAACAATTTATCTAAAAATAATGTGTAAATGGAAGCAAGATACCTCAAGCTGAGTCAGAATCTCAATGGTCAAGTCCAAATCACATCCATTCCCATAATAAACATCTGCGAGGCTCTGAGCAGCAAACCCAGGAAATTGTGATGACAAGAATTCTATTGGATCTGTGATTGAGTTCTCAAGAAACACATTGTCATCTATCAAATTATCCACTGGACCAGCATTATAATCTCTATCCCACTGATGCCCCTCCCCTTGCTGTTCACCATTTATCATAGGTTTACCCCATATATCAGCAGCCGAAGTCATGGACGCAACCAGTGATTGTTCTCTGGAATAGATGGATCCAGGAGATCTCATCTTTCCACTCAAGTTGATATTGTCAGTTGAAAGAGAAGAAAGATCTTGCCGCATATCCAATATCTGGTCAGTCATTGACGTTGAAAATTTTGATTGCTCAACACCATCGTGAATTGACAAACCTGCAAGTGTAAGATGTCCAGGTTCATGCAGCTCTTCTTGTCCTACGATTTCAAAGTCAGGAGTGATGTCGTCTGGAAGTTGATGTTGCCAGAACTTGTGTACCTCATCATCCGAATTATTTGAGATATCAGACTCTGATCGATCTAAGACTACTTTTTCAGAAGATCCTGGAAGATCAAGCTTTGCTGCACCTGAGCTTTTAGCGGTCCCATAGGCGTATTTAAGAGCTGAAGGAACAAATTCTGCTGCATTGGGGTTTAATGAGTTAGCCATGTTCAATGAACCCAACTTCAAATCCTTACTGCCATAAAGACCTTTGTTGGATGAATTCATCTTTATTGAAGTACTAATCTCTTGGTTAAGCAGAGTACTTCGTATGAAAAGAAAGTACCAGGAAGAATTTATCCCAACCCTGCAGATAACACCATAATAAAGAAGATTCAGGGATCCACAAATAAACATATCAACGACATCAAAACTAAAATAACAGTTCAGTAAACATAATTCCAAAAGGAGTAACAGAAAACTGCATTGCTTGCCATATTACCAACTACAAAACGTAGAGTCGACTATACAAGAGACACGCAACTGCAGGAAAAATATTTCAACTTCAACTTTTTAGCAATTTGGTCCTGACTTATTTGACTATTTAGCAAAAGTTTGTTTCAATATGAAATGTTAATTAAATGGAAATAGTTACACTGATGCAACAGAATTCTGTTAATCGGAAAAGGCACCAGATAAGTTCACTGCTTCTGTTAAAGGTACGTATATTTTCCACCAACTTTTAGCCTAAGGTGGCCCAAATCTAATTCTAAAATGATAACCAACACTATTAAATATTAGTTATACCAGGAAAAGTATGAGTGTGCAACGAACTCGTAGCCTAAGGTGGCCCAAAACTAATCCTAAAGAACATCACCTTTCAGTCTTTTTGGCAGTATCTTTCGTTCTGAAGCCTCAATGCCCATTTTCTCTTCTTCATCTACCTTCAAAGATTTATTCAATGATTGTGGGGATATAGTTTTTTGTTTTTTCCCCCTCCTTCTTAGGCCTCTTCAACTTGCCCTAAGGCAACTGCTACATGAAACAAGAGAAAACAAGGCTCTTCATTTGTATGTTGTGCAAGTTTCATGGGATGGACTATGTTTGTGATTGACCAGAAACAACCCAGATCGACTGAATCATATGGCCGATTTTTTTCCTTCTGAAATGAACAAAAATCCATTCAGGAATAAAGTAGGTCATCCAACATTTTAAATAAGCCAGGATTTTCTAGATTTATCAAAACAAATAGAAGATAAGCCAAATCAACTTAAGCCAGTTGAAACCAGTTGAAACTTGACTACATCCTTTATCGTCACTAGTGGAAGGGTGCAACCAAATCAAGAGAAACCAATGGGGTGAATGTCTGGAGTCGGTTGCAATTAGCTGGAAATAAGTCAAGATCAAGCCAAGACTGACGATTTTGGCCTAGCCTGATGGTTCTTTGAAGAATATGATGGTTTTGGGCCCCAATTTATCCGACTCAGATTGGCCAATCAAAATCAGTATAGGGATCAGGAGAACCTGCAGGAGATGGTGTTGTTCCCTTGGTAATTTTGATTACAAAACCAACATTCCTGATTTGGACCTTGTACCTATGTCCTTACAAGTTTCAATGTATTTTGTGGTTTTCTTTATGGTCAGTGAGACCAATAGGGGTTCAACTTCTATAATCTAGGGGGCCTCTTCGTTTTTTCTCTCAACAGCTATTTCAGCTGTGATGGCAAATATGAGTGCAAAGCTGGACTTATTCCATTACACAACAATGTCTCTTTTGTGCATGCAAGCAATAAATGAATAAGAAATTCTTTTTCCGATCCCTAATAACAAAATTCTAGATGCCTAAAATTCATAACCAACTTCAATTCCAACTATAGGAACATATAATTATTTACCACTTTAAACAATTATGAATCTCTGAACCAATTATTTGAAGCTTTGGTCCTTTTCTCAAATATGCCTCGATCCATTTTTTTTATATAATTAGAAGGGACCACTGATCATCGTTGCTTGTGAGAAGGGACTTAATATGGAGCCCAGTAATAAGGACAAGGGTGGTGAACAGTTGAGTTGATTTAGATATGGCATCAGGTGGATTCCACCGTTCAGGTATCAACAACCTCTCCACTTCACTACTATAGTTCCATCATTTCCTCAAGTAAACTTGATCCTTGTTACTACACCGGGTTTGCGCTTGTACTCATCAACTGTTTAAGCGAGATCATAACTGGCAATTAAGTACAATCTGAAAGTATATGATGTTAGAATATGGAGATCTAGACAAATATATAGACAGTGGCATATAATATCCAAGATTTCCAGTAAGACTGCAATTAATCTACTCTAAAACTAAAGAAATCTTCGAGAACGCAATTAATCTACTCCAGAACTAAAGAAATCTTCGTTGTGTAACTGCCTATGATTTCTAAGATCAACATCTTTTTTTTATTTTCTGATGTTCACATTGATCCATACGAAATAACTTCTATACTTGTGGCAAAGAAAATCACAACACATATTCCCTTCAGATCTAAGCATACAAACAGAAATTAGCATCAGGAAGCCAAGAAACACATGCCCAAGCATACGCAAAAAAGAGACCGCCTCATCAAGAATCTCCCAAAATCAATCAAAAACCACAAACCCTGGAGCTTCAACTTTTTTTTTCCTCAAAGGAACGATGATCTTCCATGAGACCCACCCCATAAAACACATCAGAAAAGTAAAGATCCGAAGATTCCGTCTCTTTTGATAAACCCACGCTAGAAATTCCATACTGCGTCCATAAAAGTTCAAGACCAAGAAAAGACTAAAGACGGGGTTCCCACCTTTCCTTAGATCGAAAAGGGTATATATGGCTGGAAACCGGTCCATAAGAGTCGAGATGGGAGATGCGAGAGTAACAACAGATGCGATCCTCCTCCACTCGATTTCTTTCTCGAGCTCTGGATTAAAAGGCGAACTCAAACCTCCTCCACCGATTCGCCGCCTCGGGCTACCTCCGCTTCGGAGCCCTCCGTCTACGCTTAGTCCCAGGTCGATCCCACGCCGATTTCGTCCACCACGGTCCAAAGAAGCGGAGGAAGAAGAACAAGAAGAAGAAGAGGATGCCCCAATCTCTCTCCCCCTCTTTGTTGACTCTGGCGGGAGTCCAGCAGCCGTCCATTACCGACCCATTGAGGCGTACCTTTCGTCCACGTGGACTTCAAGATGCGGGCATCCGTAATAATCCGATGGACGGCCCAGATTAAAGGTCCGGAGGATTTGGACTGTGTGTCGATGAAGTCACCCGCTGTGGGTGGCGGCAACTGAACGGAGGGCTGTGATCGAGATTGCGCCCCGTGGCTTGGTAAATGGGTGGCCAGGATGTCCTCACCGGAGATGATCCTACGATATTACCATTCTTTTTTTTCTTGTTTTGTGATAATTAATTTTATTTTTTGGGATGCTAATTTAGGTCGATCTTTTGAGTTATAGAGAGTAGTGACTGCCTATATCAATGATGGGTGTATTCGAATATAATATCAATGTCAAATATTAATATATAACTAATCCTCAATCACTTTTAATAAAATCTTAATGTACATTATTATATGGTTAGGAACACTTATGGATCAATATCACTAATATTATTTGTTTTCGGAATTATTGTAGTTGGGATTTTGTAATTCATGAACATAGTTTAGAGACTCTTAGGATAATTCAAGGAATTTGAGTTACTAAATTAATTCGACTTGATTCGTTTTTACGAGTACAATCATATAAAAAGAGAAAGAATTATTGAATATTTAGACCCGAAATTATATTCGAAATGAAAAACATTATGAATTTAAATCTTACTTTCTACTGATGTTTGATACCTGAATTTATCTAGCAAAAACTCATTGAGTTATTGATATACATTCATATATACTAAAAGCTTGTAGGTATTATTTTGGTAAATCTGAAATAATTATCTATTAATTAGGAAAACAAAAATACTGATTACTTAGAAAATTTTGATTTATTAATTAGGTAGGATTTAGTTATATATCAAACATATGATTTTTTTATTTAGTTAATTACTATCTTAGCCTTATTCCTAAAAAAGGAATACCCTTAATATGATTAAATCAACAGACATAATTAATCACCTAAATTAAATAATTATTTGGACGATTGATTTGGTTAGATTATATATATATATATAGAAATTTGATCATATAAATATGGCAAGTCTTATTGGAAAATTATGATATATTTGATTTGATTTGAACTCTAATGAAACATGTTAGTGTATTAAAGACTTGAGTCACGATTTAAGGGACCGCAAACTGACACCGCCGATTTGTATGACTCGAGACACGACCGGCCGGTGATCGTAGCTTCAATCGAGACCTGTAGCTATCATCTTGGACCCTTTGGGGAAGGCTTCGCGACGGAGGAATCGGAAGCTTCCTCTGGTCGACAACCCCCGAAGATACGCTTCTGAAACCCCCGATTCCATCACGAATATATTCTTTTGCTGCTTTGAAGCCCTCGATTTTGCCTCCGACGACCTCTCCGAGCCCGCTAAGACTGCCATCCCCCGGGCCACTTTCGGTTTGATTTCGCCGTAGTTCCCAACCCTACATCTCCGGTGAAGGGGGTCAGGAGGTGTCTGCGTCGTTCACCGCCATGGAAGGGATCCGGAGGCGGCGTCCTGGATTTCGTGCGATTTTTAATGCTTTATGCGCTCTGGTATTGTTCTTCTTCTTCCTGAGCAGAGAGGATGTCTTCGGGAACCCTTTCATTCGTCAAAGATCTAGTTTTTCCTTCGACCATACGTCAAAATCCAACCTTTATCCTCATCGGAGGATGGCCGAGTTTTCTTCCATTAATTCGACAAACGGGTCCGTCCCAGTCGATCAGAAGAATGAGTCGTTTGAAACCCTGGCGGATCCCACCGTGGCGTGTATCGGCATACACCAGCGCGAGGGGTTTCTTACCCAGTGTGATTTCCTGAAGGCCCATCGTCAGTGCACTTCCGGTGGACTCATCGATTATATGTCCTTCTTCTACTGTGATTGTGAGAAATTTCATGTTTTGGGTTATGCTGTGCTGGGAATATGGCTGGCGGCTCTGTTCTACATGTTGGGAAACACTGCAGCGGATTACTTCTGCTGTAGCTTAGAGAAGCTCTCTGGCTTACTGAAGCTTCCGCCAACTGTTGCGGGGGTCACTCTGCTTCCACTTGGCAATGGCGCTCCCGATGTGTTTGCTAGCGTTGCAGCTTTCATTGGCACAGGTGCTGGTGAGGTTGGCATTAACAGCGTGCTGGGTGGAGCTGTCTTCGTCACTTGCATAGTTGTCGGAACTGTCTCGCTATTTGTTGCGGAGAAGAATGTTCAGATCGATAAGAAAAGCTTCATCAGGGATATCAGCTTCTTTTTGTTGACGTTGGGGTCATTGTCCTTGATCTTGATTGTCGGAAGAGTGACACTCTGGGGAGCAGTCTTGTTTGTCTTGATTTATGCAGTTTATGCCTTTGCCGTGGCAGCCAATGAGATGCTGAGGAAGCATGCTCGGAGATTGAAGTTAGACATGGTGACTCCACTGCTCCCAGTTAGAGGAAGCATCTTTTCTCATGGCAGCGAAAAGGATGGATCCGTCCATAGCTTTCTTCTTGAAGATGATCATGACAACGAGGTGCCACAGCTGCAAAATTCACTGCCTCAGTGGATGTGGGCTTCGCATGTGGCTATTTATTCAGATCAGGGGAGCGGAGTAAATTCATTTGACAGCTCCCAGCCTTTATGGGGTTGGAATGAGCAAGAGGCAGGGACATCGGGTTTCTCATGTTCCAAGTTATTTCTGTTGATGGAGATGCCCCTCGCTATGCCAAGAAGGTTGACGATTCCTATTGTCGAGGAAGAAAGGTGGTCGAAGCCATATGCAGTCACAAGTGCCTTCTTAGCACCCATTCTTTTGGCATTTGTGTTTAACACCCAGGAGACTTCTAAATTTAGTATTGCTGCTGCTTACGTCGTAGGTGGCATCGTTGGAGCTGGATTTTCAGTTCTTGCTTTCGTATACACCAGCCGCGATCGTCCACCACAAAGGTGCTTGTTTCCATGGGTTTTAGGAGGGTTTGTCATGAGCATCGTGTGGTTTTACATCGTCGCCAATGAGTTGGTTGCTCTTTTGGTGACCCTGGGTGTGATTTTGGGGATAAATCCTTCGATTCTGGGATTGACAGTACTAGCTTGGGGTAATTCGATGGGAGATCTGATGTCGAACCTTGCCTTGGCTGTCAATGGGGAAGATGGTGTGCAGATTGCCATGTCAGGATGCTATGCAGGACCTATGTTCAACACACTTGCTGGTCTGGGGATGTCAATGCTGCTCGGATCTTGGTCGACTAAGCCAAACTCCTATGCGCTACCACAAGACAACACCTTGGTGTATACCATGGTTTTTCTTGTATCTGGACTTCTTTGGGCTCTCATCATCTTACCGTGGAACGACATGCGGCCTAACAAGATGTTGGGCTTTGGCCTCATAACACTTTACCTTGTATTTCTGATTGTCAGGGTGAGTAATGTAGTTGGTCTCTTACCATTGGCTGGTTTACGATGACCTCCTCTCTGGCTCTCAGGAGAACTAGAGAGCTCATCTGCCGATTGGCATACCGATGCACTCGTCTTTTCTGCCGGTTCTCCGTGCCGAGAACTTGGGTAGTCCCGATCATATGAAGAAAGAGTGTTTTTGTGATGTCCAAGTGTATGCCTAGAAACCCAAGTTTGCACCTGTAACATCCGAAGATGGATTTTCTATGTCGGTGCACTTAATTATGTGTCGAAGGCAAGCACACTTTGCGAAGATGGATTTTTCTTTCTCGTGTACTTGTTGTCTCAGGCAAAAAAAGGAAAAAGTATAGGAATCAATGGATGAATATGGCTTCTTTATTTTGCAGTGCAAGATATCTGTGGAGGCCTTTGTTTTTTGTTTGTTAATGATTTGTTGTGAATCTTTGATGCAGGAATTCCTCTTTATCAAAATCAACCTTCAATACTACATTGGAATTATGTTTTCTATGAAATTTGCTGCTGTACTGCCATTTTGTAATTTCATCTAAGATACTGCCAGTTGTTTTCTCTTGATAGTTTGATCATCTTCATCTTGAACCATCTGTTTATCGTGCGTGATTTCAGCCTGGAAAAAATATTCATAGAGAACCACTAGTTTATCCTCCTTAGGACAGGCCATGTAAAGTCGGATGCTGTTCTTGTTATGGGTAGGAGGTTTGGTGGTGGTGGTTTGATCATGATGGGATTTGCAGCAGGTCGGTCATACAAGGATTTGGTTTCGGCACTGTGGTTTCCTGCAACCAACTTGAATGGTGAGTGAGGTAACTAAATAATGCAATGCAGCTCGTGTATTGATTTTTTTAAGACTGTTCCGTGATGGATTCTTACTGCACTTGATTTGTTCATTAACAACATTTATTTAGGTTGATTGGGTTTTCTACACTCATTTTCTATTTCGTTTATGAATATATATGATCGAGGTTTAAAATCTTGATATGGTAATCAGATATAATGGGATGACAAAAAGTGAGTGATACAAAAGAATCAGCAGCTCCTTTGGGACTTTGCATGCTTGGCTTTCCCTTCGGTAGATAGGAGGAGAAACAATATGTCTTAAGCATAATACATTTTATTTTATCTTTAAATCCGAATGCGGAAAAACAAAAACAAAAAAAGACATTTGGATTACATCTTCGAAAAATACAATTTAAAACATGGTTTATTGCTCATCTCAAAATTTTAAGTTAATAGAACCAAGCACTCCCCTTTTCCCTTTCCTTTTTCGACGAAGCTGTTGCCACAATATACATCTGCCCATGGACGAAATGAAAAAGGATGAGAGACCCAATTCGACAATCTAACATAATGTTCACAAAAGAGCATCTAATGCTTTGTGGTGAGATGATATTTATCATAGAAGGCATTAAGGTACAGCAAAAATAAGCCAGCTGCAAAATATGATGTCAATCTCGGATAATAGCAACACGTCTCTTTCAGAAAACCTTATTGGAGAATGGTATGGAAGGGAAAACATGATCAGATCGGTCATCAAAGCAAAATTTATTTTACATTCAAATAAAAATTAAAATTCAACAAACAAAACATTATAGATTGGTCATCGAAACAAAATTTATTTTACATTCAAATAAAAATTAAAATTCAACAATCAGGCAGTAGTAGGAACCCAAAACTACCTCATTTTGTGGTAACCCTAAAGCCTTCCACCTTGGGCCGCGATTCCTGTGTATTACATATGCTTGGGCTTGTTTGGGTTTTGGGTGTCTACAGTTTGTTTATCCCCTCTGCAATCTCAAAATTCATGGTATGTATATATCTCATCATCTTTGGTGTTATATGGGTCACAGATCCTGTGTACCATATAGAGGGTTGGACATCTTTGGGTTTCTGGTGTCTACAGTTTATTAAACATTTTGAGAGTATGATTATTGCAGAAACATATTTGCAGTTACCAACCATGTAGGCATCAAACGTAACCGAAAAAAATGACATGAATCAAGTATGTCTCAAACTGATGCAATCACATTACAGGTTCAACACTAGAATGAATTACTATGGGCAAAGAAGGTAGTTAAGCATAGATCATGGTTATAGGTAATAATATTGATGCCGAAGAGTACCTTCTCTTCTTCAAACTTGTCTCAATGATTATATACATCGGCAGAACTTCCCTGCAACAATTAGTAACAAAAGCAAAGAAAAAACATGAATAATAGAAGAAACAAAATTAAGATGCCAATTCCTACGAGAACTATCTCACTAGTACCTGCACTTGACCAGCAAGTCCAAATGGAGAAAATTATGGAAATGTCAAGATGCCACAACGTATTGGAATTCTATCTAAAAACAAGACTGCCATTTTGCTGCTGTCTTAAGTTCTCAATAAGCAATTGGTAGAAGGATCTCAGGGCCTTTGCATCGTTGGCCTGCTGGAGAACATTTGAGAGCTCAAAGGAAGTACTATGTGGAAGTAGCAACAACTAAAGTTCCAAACGGTTAAAATGCTTATATGCCAAAGAGCAGAATGAAGTATGAAGCCAGTAAGATGAATACACAATTAGGGACAAAACATGTATATCTTTTTCTGATCCAATTCTAGAAAAATCTACAGTGTCAAAATATTAGGCACCTGAAGATCCAATTTCGTTCAAAAAATTTACATTATTCTCCTACAACTAGACCACAGAAATATTCAATTTGGCTGGTAGATGTAAACTTTAGAGACCTCAACATATAATCTGTCTTTACTTCAGTCAAATAAGCAATTAAAGTAGTTGATATCATACCTGCAACTTTTGATAGTATTGTTCTGCTATTTCGTGTGGGCAATGTGCTGCTTGGAGCCCTTGAGACACAAAATGGATAATGAAGTCATTACCCAACTTCTCATACATAACCTTTTGAGCTAGCACAATTTCTCCAAAGAGGACTAACTGTTGAAGGAAGAACATATTGGTAAGCAGTCTAGGTGCAGTAACCATAAGAACAATAGAGACCAGAACAGGAGATGGCAATTACATGCTAGAAATCATCTTCTACGTACTGAAAATACTTCACAATTTAAAGGGGAAAAAAACAAAACATAGATACATAACAGACAAGGATTTCCAAGTTGGTCAACACAGATCAAAATATACCACGCCCAAGAGGTAGTACCAGCACATGGTTTGATATGCTGTGCCAGCAATGCCAACACACGACTAATCCTTTTTATTTATTTATTTATTTTTTTGCTTGGGCCAACCAGCACAGGAGCATGCTAATTGGCATGACATCACAAAACGTTAATCCATGGCTTCAATTAGAACTCTTCTACAGCACTTTGTTATCAACATGTAAATAAATATCATCACTAATAGGCCTCCTTGCTGAATCAGTACCAAAGTCTCACAAATGTAAGTGTATAGAGACAACTTTGAGATTCTTTTTTCATACACAAAAAAATCATATTCTTATTGCATTCAATTCAGCTAGTACACTTGCACAATTTATGCCAAAAACATTATTTGTCATCTCATACTCTAGAATTTATACAAATTTGCACCAAGACTTTGATGTTATGTGGCACTCAGCAGGTATGATGCATGGATGGATTAAACCAACAAATTATTTTTCATCATGCTGGTTGCATTTTTTTCATCTACCAAATGATTTTAATCATATTATAGAAATTCTAATAATAATATGAATAACTTATTAAATTTACATACCGAACACTGGCTGATAGACTAAAAAGCATAGACAAGTTTATAAGCCGAAGCTGTATGCCATCAGAAATAATTGCATTCTAAAAGTACTGGTAGATTGCATGTGGTAGACTGCATGTCTAATTACAAGATTATTAACTGATTTTTCTGAGGAAAATGTACCAATCTTGCATTTCAACTAAGATACACTAGAAATGTCAAAAATGAATACTTCTTGCATTTGTTAAACATAAAAAAGGCAAAAATCAAAATGTAGTTAGAGTACACACAGTATTTGCATCACGGAACTCAAATGTCTTGTCAAGAACACTGTACAAGCAGCAATTTGTTGCAAACTTCTCGATTACAAAGCTGCGAAATCCAGGAACCTGTTTTTTCAACCAAAAATTACTACAAGATCACAAACTTGATAAAATGAAAAGATTGTCCTATCTTTCTGAGACATGGTTAAGAGTATTAATGGAAAAGGAGTACCTTATCATCACCATTGCAATTAGTGCACCAGTCTCTTATGAGCTTCACGAAGATTTGGACACATAGCTGCCATAGTAATCACGAGGTAGATGTGTATAGTTATTATAACACTGCTATTACATTTTAAAAGCCAGAAGTAAATAGGATGGAAAGAACTTCATCTCGAGTGATGTTTAATTGATACCCGAGTATTTTACACATTAACAAGAGGATTTGCAAGCCTACTAGTTTTAAATTCAATATAGCCTTGTTACATCAACTTGGATGTTTGTAAATATATTAACCAAGTCTATACCGAAAACTCTCTCCCTTACCTTCCTTAGAAGTATATCTTTGTGACTGCAAGCAGTTAGTAAAAGCAACTGCATCATTGCATCCAAATATCCCATACAATTTGGAGCAATGAAAACCGACGAAAGATCATGGTTTGCCATCACATGGACAAAGGTATATAATGTTTTTTGCAGTTCTTGAAGTTCACGCACTTCCTGCAGGAGCCAAGTAAACATGGAATTAGGTACATAATCATGGACTAAGTGATGCTAATGAAGTTTCATGGCAGCGGGAAATGTTAAATTATTAGTGGTTCAAGTCACAAGATATTAGCAGTGAGATGAGATTCAATTGATCATACACAAGAAATTGCATGTTTCACGTTTTAGCAAAAGAATAACACACGAAATTAGGAAAGAAGCTATTAAAGAGAAATACCAGAGATGTACACCTAACAACACTAATCCATGCAGAATTCACCATATCCAGCTATTTAAAATTATCTATATATCAAATTCACATGAGCCAGTTCCATTTCAAACCTCAGTATTGCATCCAGGGCCTGAAGGAAATGCATCCTTCGGAAGTATAACAATTAGTCTGCTAGCAATAGCAGGAAATATCTCCACCAGTATGGCCTCTATAGAAGTACCGAATTTGTAGATTAGTTGATTGACTAATACAAGAAAATCCACCATGTCTTTTGGCTGCAAAAACACCAGTTAAGAGTCAATATAAAATAAATTTTATTGAAAGAAATAATAACTTATGACAGGATGGTTCTTACGTAAAGAAACTAAGATTTAACACTAGAACCTCAGAAAATGTGGGTAAAAAAGCAAAACATGTCACGATCCGAGCTTGATGGGATAACTGACTCGTTAACTTCATTGAATCTGAACCATTTGCTCAAAATACTTAAGTTAAAGTTAATAGTAGTACACTATTAAGAGCTTGACGCCCTCGTCAAAGCCCAACATAGCTCATAACATAGATCAAACTCTAGCATGATGATGCATGTGAGGCATAGTACACCATCAAACTCTTATAAGCTAATCTTAATCTTAGCCTACTTCCGATGTGAGACTAATCGAGATATTACAAAACACCTTTTAAATGAATAAATTAAGAAATAAAAATAAAATTTTAGGAGCTTAAAATCTTGTAACAACTAGCACTATCAATGTTACCCAAGTCATTTCCTTAAACAGACACTTCCAATTATTTGTATTAAGCATTTTTCTCATAATTAATGAAATAAAAAAATTATGTTCATTTTATCGAAAGTTCTTGCTGTTTTCTCTGCTTTCTTTAAGTAACATGTTAGTGAAAATTATTGTTTTCATTATAATTAGAAATATTAATTAAGCAACTGTTATTATTGATCACGATAAGTAAGAATCCACTCCACAATAAAAGTGAAAGACAAGCTTCTAAGTACATGACGATGTATATGATGAAATTATTTGTTCATTGCAGCATCAATGACAGACAGTATCTTCAAGATTTAACTTTTCAGCTTATCTGTTTCATGATGTACCAGTGTCCTCTATCTGAATTCATGCTTCATGATACACTACATTTTCTGCCAAGGAATTGAAGAATGCAGGAGATCTAGCTTCTCAAGTAGTTTCACTAATAAGTAATAACCATAATTAACAAAAAAACAACGGTCTATGTAGTGGGTATTTGATATTCACATCGAGCTAGTAAGCATACAGAGTCACTGGAACTTAAGACACCTTCAATGATTATACTAATTGCTAATGAACCTTAATAATTCTCTGAATATTTACTCTGTGCTACAGAAACATCAAAAACACATGAAGATACGAGCTCTCTGTAATTTTATTTCCTTGAAAGTTCTGAAAATGTTAACTTATCATTATCTTCATTTTTATTTTTCAAATTGCATTCAGTTCTTATTTTCAAAATTACATATATACCTTTACATTATGCATGCCTCCAATGAACCGAATAACTCATTGTCATACATAGCAACTAGTACCTTGATAAACCTTAAATCATCTTAAAAGAGCCTTGATCAGTGATCAAATCTTATTGCTTAGAGTTCTCTCTATTAAAGGTGCCTTCAACACAACCATTCAATATCCATGACCTTGTAGTTGTCATCACATTGGTAATTTCAACTCTATGAAGAAGACAAAAAAGATCAGTATGCCTATTAGTTAGATTTATCTGCTATTACTTATCATAATCATCTAAGCCTTTGCTGTTAGGATGAGTCAGCCTAAAACATAAGAAAAAGTAAAGACACCACAAATTTTCAGGCATGAAACTCAATACAATATTTAGTGACTCAAGTAGACCAATGTGAAAAATACAACATTCATAACTCAGTTATAATGATATCGGCCTAACTAATATGACATCATTTCCATAACCTTAAAAACAAGAAAAAGAGTACACAGAATAATCAGAAAATAATAATTGGACAAGTTCAGTGGAATAAAACAAGTTGCCATATGTACATTACCCAAGCTAAAAATATTGGAAAACAAAAAAAAAGCAAGCAAAAGCATGAGAAAAAAGATACCTCACTTTCCACAAGCAGTTGCTTTAGAGCCACAGGAAGGCATGGAAAGATAGATGCTCCCAAAATATCAACCATGCGATGAATGAATGATGTAATCTGCATCCATGTATTTCTTTTGTCATTGATGTCAGATAAAAAAAGGTATGTCAGAAAAGTATATTTAATTTGTCACCTTATTTCGCAACATCTTGATATTTGGAAATGAGATAAGAATTTCTAAGACAACATCTAACGTCTGCAACATAAAGGAGGAAACTCTTAGAAGTGTACCCAAAATATCATTAAAAATATATACTGTTAATCTGCCTTGAACCACACAAAAGCATGTCAACCCATGAAAACTTTCTTGTATTATCTAAATGCACTTCAGAAAAGCCATGCAAAATCAAATAATGTCTTGTACATGCATCGATTTGAAGGATAGCTCAACTAGCCTGCTTAAACATAATTCCAATGGCTGGACGGCTATTTTTAACAAGTCGTTCATTGAATCCCTGTCCATAAACAAGATTTACAGCAATGAGGGTCTATTTCCACAACATATAGATGTTCCAAGACCAAATAAATATAAAAAAAAAAAACAAGGTTAGCATACAATCAAAGCTTGAATTCAGAGAGTAAAATTAACCAAGGACAACAAAATAGCTAATTGTTCTTCTCAAAAGACGAAACAGTTTTCAGGAACCATTCGGCACAATCAGTTTTCAAGAACCTGGATCATTTTATTTCTGCCTTTTTCCAAATAGTACTTCCATTTCTGAATTTTTCAAAAACAGTATCCTCTACTTTTAATGGACCATGTGAGTTTCTTGTTATCCGATGTATCCTAACAGAACTAGGACAATATGATAATTCCTATCCCGTTATCTGATAAAGAGATGTGTCCTTTTTATTCACATATGAACACATAAGTTCCAATAACAAATAACTAAAATAAAAACAGAATGCACATGCTTCTCATTTTTAGAAACACCAAATACGAGGACTCCTTTTAAATGGACAGAGAGAAAACATGTTCGTAAATCAAAAGTTACACCTTGCTTAAAGCATGTAAAGCCATGATAACTTGCTGGATGGTCAAGACTTTTGCTGAAGATTCCTCTAACCCCTGTGCTTTGGCATCCAAAAGCAGCCCACTCAGCTGTATTAGACAACCACAAGTAATAAGTCAACTTATTGGTCATTCACTACATTTGATGCTGAAGCAATTACGAGGACCGGTGAACAAACAGAAGGATAGATGGGAAACAACAAGAAATCTCCAATTCCACATTAACCTTTTCACAAAGAGGGTTGAGAAATGCTGCCAAGTACTCAGATTGCTTTTCCAGGGGTACATCTTCCATGCCAATCAATAATCCTATTGCCTGACATCCCCAGAAACAAATAGAAGGAATGATAAGAACATTATCTTCGCTCAATGAAATTGCAGAGAACACATTTTTCAGTTTCAAGAAGTGACACCTCAAATGTTTGACTGCCATCTTCAGAACCAGGGCACTTGAGATCCTTAGAACTCCAATCTGAGCTAGTGAATTGAGCTACAATATCCTGTAGTCCCTGTGATTCAATAAACCAGATATGAGTAACCTATTTAAGAACAGAAAAAAAGACAGCATAATAAACCATAAACGAAGGGGAAAGGTTACATACTTGCAAAATCATATCCAAGTAAGGCACAAACTTAGCTTTCAGTAACTTGACAGCTCTCATGAAAAGATAACTAGCCCGTCTGCTCACGTTGAGATTTGGATGGTGTATGCCTCTCTCATCCAAGAAGACAGACAGCACATGAGGTACATACTGAGGATTATCCTGTACAAACTTCATAAACCTCGTGACAGTCTCCAGGTAGATGAGTGCCACCATTCGATGAGAATGGCAAGGGAATCGTGACGAAAGGAGCATATCGACCAACTCATGCAACGACCCACTACCAGTCCTCGCTGCTTCTTCGTTTACAGTCTCACCTAACCTGTAGAACAACGTAAGAGTGGCTTCTACTTCCTCCACGCTTGCTTCTGAAGAGGAAAGGGCGCTGATTAATAGAGTTTGGATAAAAAGTTGTGTGACATCGGGTGCAACCCGGCAAACACTACAGAATAGCATAAGCAGCCCCTTCCGGTGTTCGGCCATCTGGTCCTCCTCCTCTCTACCTATTTTATCTGGGATATCAAGATTGCTCCTGTAAGCAGGATCGTAGCATATCTGCTCTCTGATAACTTGTAGTATCCGACCAAGATACATTGCTTGTTTCTGGGAGGGTGACTTCATGGTGGAAACATAATCTGACAGAAAATCGACCACATTACCTAATTCAACTTCCTCGCTTTCCTGCATCACATAGAACACCGAAGGCAGGACCTCCTCAAGAAGTTCCAGAGGCGAGGAACCATCTATCTCTGCCGAACCCAGCTTCTTATAGCATTCTAGGGCCTCAGCAGCATACCCGGTGACCAGATCTGGAACCTTTAGAACCAATTCCGGGTCGCTAAACACCCGGTTTATTGGTAGAGTGCGGAGAAGTGCAACCTTCTGGCGAGGATCCATCCTCTTCTGGGCGATGGCAAGAACACAGCCACCAGCAGCAGCTCTCAGTTGCTCGGTCGAGCTGGGAGCCAGAATAAGATCGAAAAGAAGGGGGACGAATGCTTCGTTGGCGATGAGAGCGATGTCGATCCAAGTGACATAGCGCCGCATGGTGTCAAGGGCTGCGGTGGCGAGGGAAGGGTTGGAGGACCGGTAGAATGACGCCGCATCGAACCAATGACGGGCGATCTGGGGGACGCACTGCAGGCGCATGGCGTCTTTGACACGGGTAGCATCGGCGGACTCCTCAGGGGACCGGGGATAGTCGTGGCTGAGGAGGTCATCGTCGAGGGCGACGAGGAGACGGGCGAACATGTCGACGGAGGCGGGGTCGGCGGAGGTGACGCAGGGGAGGGTGCGGAGGAAGGGGTCGGGCCACACGGAGGGGTACTCGAGGCGGATGAGGGCGGCGAGGGCCTGGGCGAGCTTGTTCCTGAGGAAATGAGGGTACGCGGGGGGGAGGGGACGGTCGGACGCGAGGGAGAGGAGGGCGGAGCGGAGGAGGGGGAGGTCGGCGGGGGGGATGGAGGGGTAGCAGAGAAGGATGGCGTCGTGGAGGGCCTGGAGGCACCAGAAGTGGACGGGCACGAGGGGGGAGCGGTTGAGCCGATCGAGGCAGAGGCGGAGGAGGGCAGAGGGGTCGGCCTTAGCACGGTCGCAGAAGGCCATGGCCTGGGCGCGGAGAGCCAGGTCGGCGGCGCCGGGTTCGTACACGAGGAGGATCGCCTTCTCGAGGTCGTCCATGGCTACCCCTCCCGCTCAACAACAACAGGATCAGAACCCTCACAATCCCTAGCGGCGAAACACCTCACAAACCCTAGCGTTTCATCGGTTCTTTATTTGCTGGGTTTTGCGGAGGGATACTGCAGACAGACAAGGGCGGTGGTGGCAGAGAAGCGAGATGACGAGGGTTTTATCGATATATAGGTGGCAAAAGAAGGGGGGATGATGCAAAGAATCGGAATAGACTATACAGATTGGTTTCTGGATGAGGGAATTCGATTATGAGTCGGATTACGCTTCAAAGGGGTGGGTGAGTGCGCGTCAACGTAGGAAACGACGGAGGTGGGATAATAGGTTTCGTGGGTTCTGTTTTCATGATCAGCGTCAAAATTGACAATGAATTAGCGTTGGAATTGAAATTAAGGGGTGGAATGACCAAATTGGTTGACATGATTGGTGCATTGGAACCCAAATGAACTCTGAAATCAAACAGAGTATATATAATTCCTAATACCTATAGATAGTTATGGGTATTTCTTCGTTGTTTTGGTATTCAAATAGAATAAAAAATATTTAAAATTCACAAAGTTTCTGATAAAAATGATATAAAATAGTTTGCATTAAAATATAGGATGATAAAATACTCGATGATGATGGAGAGCTGACGAGGACAGGTCCCACTAAAGCGGTCGTATAGTGGTTCGTGTGGGTTTGATGTGTCATGATGACAGTCCATGGGAGCCAATGAGTAAATGGATGGTTAATAAAGGCAGCCATTTTACAAAATATATTCTTTAAATATATATATTTACTATTACAAATTTTGATTTAACATATATATATATTTCTCCAACTGTCGAGATCGACCATTTTCTTGAAGTAAAAAAATAAAATAAAAATTAATTATTTAAAAACGTATTGTTCTCGATAAATACCTTGTATAAATCTTTCATTAATGTTGTTGAATTTGATGATAAGACTTAAAAAAAAGATAAATTCAAATTAACCCGAACTTGGTGTCGATTCCAGATGAATCGAATCTGAAACCGACGCAACATCATTTTTAATTGAACCATCGAACTCGGATCGAGTCAAGTAGAAAACTCTTGAATTGAAGTCATATGGTCAAAACCATATTATACATATATCAAGCTGCATCTTCGACTACATTTTTTATAGCTTCATTTTCGTGTAACTGAATCACCAGTCGGATGGCTATAATGAAGTGGATCCGCACGATAAGGGCATGGGTTGGCCGTTCATTAGAACTCTTAATTAGTGGAGTTCATTCTAGCTTCTTCTCTTAGGCTTCGACCAGGGAACCAAAGGACACCAACAGCCCCTTCCACCATAGTTTCACCATTGTCATCATCATCCAATTTCCATTGTACTTCTATAGTATAGCTTATTATCACCTTTAATCATAGATCAGAAATCGATATGACTAAGTTTTGTCTTAAAAAAAATAAGGTCATCCTGGTGGGTCCTCGTGGTAGTCGAGTGATGAGATTAGCGTCGTATATAAGCTAACATGAGTGGTCTCAAAGTGGCCTCTAAGTGTTCGAGGTTGTTCCAAGGGTTCGGGTGGACTTTGGTCTCCTTGAGGGTCTTGCACTAAAGGTCAAAATTGAAGGATATTTCTCAGCCTGATCCCTCCAATGATCGAGTTAGTTTTTTATGGAGTGAAAATAGTGAGGGTTTTGGTCTAGCCTCTAATCCTTGTTCAAGCATTAGGGACCATTTTTTATACTTGAGAAGTGGGGGAGGGGATTATGGTCGACGGGTGATAGATTCGTACGTCCTTTTGTGACTCATTTATGTGGGGCGACTAGTCCGTACAACCCCCAACAACGCATCGCTAGTAGAAGATGACAGAGGAGCACTGCCTATCAACCCTGACAGCTGACAAAGTTGAGTCAAAAGGCTCCCTATGAGTTGTTGCCCGTAGGGGCCAACCAAGGGAGGGCACATTTCAGCTTAGTCACCTAGGAACCACTACCCCCGACGGTCGACCTGTATCGCCACCTGTGAGTTGCGATCCATGTTGGTCAATAGGTTGCTGCCCCATTGTCAATCGTGGAGGAAATGACCTGGGACTTATGTCTTCCACATCAACTCTTCAGTGACAGCTAGTTGGCCGGTTATGACTATTATTAGAATATTTTCTATCATTTATCCCACTTGAAAGTGTGCTTTAGGACCCTTACAAAGGGGTTTGAGATATGTCGTTTAGCCTTTCTATCAATTGAGGTCTCATTTTTCTTAGTTGAGTTTTCCTTCTTGGGTGCATCGGGTTTCCCAACATTGGGAGTGGGTCGAGTTTCCCAACTCATAAGGTTCAAGCACATTTTGCTCGACGTCTCCGCCGTAGCAGACATTTGGCATGGGTCGAGGTTTTTGACTCACATATCTCGGGCACATTTTGCTCAACACTCCGTTGTAGCGGACATCTGGCGTGGGTCGAGTTTCTTGACTTAGACATCTCGGGCCCATTTTCCCTAGTGTCTCCATCATAGCGGACATCTAGCGTAGGTCAAGTTTCCTGACTCGTACATCTCAGGCCTATTTTGCCTAGTATCTTCTGTTAGTCATAGATGCTTTGCAAGCTAATCATGTGAGTGATAACACATGTGACATGACATGTACTCTTTTTTCTTATTATTATTTATTAGTATTTTATTACTTTATTTTACATGTTGCATATATTGTGATGTCTATGAATCTATGCAATGAGAATCGAATTATGATGAGATCACAATAATAAGGTTGATTCATCTTTAAACATAAACACTAAATAATCCTGGTTACTCGAGAGAAACATCGAGATAACCGAATATACTGATGTACTATGTACACATCCATATGATTGATACGGCTGGTCTTATAGTTGCTCATTTGAGGATATTAGGGATATAGTGCAGGAACTCATTAGTGAATGAGTTCACTAATTGATCCGCTCATGGAATGCTAGATAGTAAATGATATCTCATTGTCAAACAATGATTTTGTCATTCCAATAGTATATTTGGTCTTTAGATTTGAGACACTAAAGATATCCTATATGAGTACTCGACTCTTTGATACAAGACTTATAGACCTGAAAATTATAGATATAACATAACCGGTTATCGGGAGTGACAATCAACCTTACGAGGGCTATTGAGTGTCGATAAAGGATCAACTACTCTCGATGTCATGAGAGGAATATTTCATGTGTTCTTGCTCAGGCAAATCTCTAACTATAGTCATTCGGATTAAGAGAGAAAGAGTTCTTCGAGAGAATCTAATTAGAGTAAGACTTGAGTAGAAACCATATAAACCTAACACCATGCCCGAAATATGGTCTTTGGGATGTTAAATGAATAAGAGTTTATAAATACATAATAACTAAGGATAGACAAGTTCAATGAATTAGAATTTTCTGTATCGTCTAAGGACTGAGGCATAGTGGCCTAGTACATTCGTAGTCGACGAATCGAGTGAATCATTATGAAGATAATAATTCACTAAACCAGAAGGAGTTCTGACAAGTATAATTCATGACCAGCTCGATATTGGGCATAGAGGGTCATACGCATATGGTAAGTGTTGTGACGAGTAAAAATTTAAATATGAGATATCTACTAGAGCCCATATCTTATTGGATATCCAATAAGCTCCTAAATTATTGGATCTTGTGGATAAGATCCAATAAGAGTCAATGAAAAATTATTGGGTAAAGATCCACTAATCCAAGAGGATGGGGTAATTGGATGAAAATCCAATACCTAATAGAATATGATCCATTATGTTAAGTTGATAAGAGATATCTATAAATAGAAGGGAACCAAACAGCCATAGGCCAAACCCCTTTTAGCTGCCACATCTTATACTCCTCTCACTTTCTCCTCTCAGCTAGTAGCCCCTTTTAGGGTGTATGGACAGTAAGAAGGGATTGACCATTCTTAATCGCATGGTGCACGCAAAATAGATATCTGTACAATAATTTGAGGAGTGTCTTCGTAGCCCCTGCTATGTGGATCACCGCTATAGAGGAAGCCAGTTAACATCTTTTATCCTCTCTCACAAATCTATAAGATTCCAGGGATATATAATTTTCCTAATTAACACACATATATTACTATGTATAGTTTTTTATTTTACGATTTTTGCGCATAAATCTTCACATGATGATGAAACCTTCTTTTATGTAGGAAATTCTAGATTATTTTTTTTTCTGTTCTTCCATTGCACATGTAGTATCACCCTAGATTTTCCAATAATAGATGCCCTGTAAGCCAATCACGTGAGTGATGACACATGTGACACGCTACGTAGTCTTTATTATTATTATTATTATTAGTAGCATTTTCTTACTTTATGTTGTGTGTTACATATATTGTAATATTCATGGATCTATGCAATGAGAATCGGAACGTAATGAGATCACGATAATGCGACTGATTTACCTTTAAATACAAACTTTAAATAATCTCAATCATATGTTACTCGAGAGAGACATCGAGGTAACTGGACATACTAGTGTGTTTTATACCCATCCATATGATGAAAGTGGCTGGTCTCATAGCTGCTTGCGTGGGGACACTAGGGATATAGTGTAGGTGCCCATTAGAGAATGAGTTCACTAATTGATCCGCTCACGGAATATTGGATAGTTAATTATACTTCATTACTAGACAATGATTTTGTGGTCCCAGTTTTATGTCTGGTTCTTAGACTTGAGATACCAAGGATGCCATGTATGAGTACTCTGTTCTTTGATACCGAACTTGTAGGTTTGGAGGTTTCAGATCTAGCACAATCGATTATCAAGAGTTGTAGTCAACCTTACGAGAGTCATTGAGTGTCAATAGAGGATTATATAGTATTAATGTCATGAGAGGAATATCTTATATATTCTTACTCAAGCAAATCCCTGATCAGGGTCATTCAGATTGAGAGAGAAAGAGTTCTCTAGGAGAATCCGATTAAAGCAAGACTTGAGTAGTTTCCATATAACCTTGATAGCACCATGCCCGATATACGATATCTGAGATATTAGATGAATGAGAGACTATAGATATAATGATAACCGATGATAGACAGATCCAATGGATTAGATTCTTCTATATTATCTAATGACTACGATGTAGTGGCATAGTACATCCGTAGTCGATAAGTTAAGTGAATCATTATAAAAGATACAATTCACTGAGTCAAAAAAAGTTATGATAAGTATAACTTACGACCAATTCAATATTAAGCATAGAGGATCATACACATATGGTGGGTGTTGTCACGAGTAGAGGTCAAAATATGAAATATCCATTGGAAGCCTATCTTATTAGATATCCAATAAACCCCTGAGTTATTGAATCTTGTAAATAAGATCCAATGAGAGATTATTGGGTAGAGATCTGCTAATCAAAGAGACTTAGGTAGTTGGATGAAGATCTAGTACCCAATTGAGCACGATTCATTAGGGTTAAGTTGATAAGAACCTATATAAATATGAGAGAACCAAAGGGGCATAGGCCAGACCTATTTTACCTGCCACCTCCTATTCTCATCCCTCCCACTCCTTCTCAACTGACAACCTCTATTTGGGGCGTGCAGATAACAAGAAAGATCAACCCTTTCTTAATCACGTGGTATGCGTGGAGAGGAAGATCGTGTAGAAATTTGATGAGCGTTTTCACCGCATCTACCATGTAGATTACCCATAGAGAGGAAAACAGATGACCTCATTCATCCTCTCCTATAAATCTGAAAGTTTTCAAGGATATACGATCTCCCTAGATAACACATCTTTCATATATACGTAATTTTTTATTTTACGATTTTTCGCATATTAATCTTTGCACTACGATAAGAACTATTTTTTATGGGAAATCTGAGATTTTTATTTTCTATTCTTCCACTGTGTATATAATGCTACCCAAGGTTTCCCAACATTTTCACCATGGTAAACATCTGGCGTGGGTCAAGTTTCTCAACTCACACACCTTAGGTATATTTTTTCTAATGCCTCCACCGGAGCAGACATCTTGGTGTGGGTCTGCTTTTCTAACTCACATATCTCAGACACATTTTGCTCAATGCCTCCACCATAAGGGGTATCTTGGCATGAGTCAGAATTCTTGACTCACACATCTTGGGCATATTTTGTCTGATGCCTCGATGGACATTTGGCATAGGCCAAGTTTCCTAACTCACATATCTTAGGTACATTTTACTCAATGCCTTGATAGACGTTTGACCTAGGTTACGTTTTTTCAACTCACGTATCTCAGGCATATTTTGCCAGATGCCTCCGTCGTAGTGGGTATCCGGTATGGGTCGAGTTTTTAAACTTACACATCTTGGGCATATTTTGGTTGATGTCTCCATTATAATGGACATCTAGCGTGGGTTGAATTTCATGACTCACACATCTCGAACACATTTTGTCCGATGCCTTTGTCATAGTGGATATCTTAGCGTGGGTCAGATTTATCGACTCACACATCTTGAGCATATTTTACCCGATGCCTCGGGCATATTTTGCCTGATGTCTCTACCGTAGTGAGTATTTTGGCGGGAGTTAAACTTTCCAACTTACATATCTCAGACACATTTTGCCTGATGCCCCCTCCATAATAAACATCTGGCGTGGGTAGGATTTCTCGACTCACATATCTCGAGTATATTTTGCCTAATACCTTCACTATAGTGGGCCTTCATCTCTTGCCATAGCGGATCTTGGGCTTCCATCGTGGTGGGGCCTTTGTCTCCTATCGTGGTGTATCTCATGCTTCTATTGTAGCAGGCCTTCATCTCTTGCTGTAGCGAATCTTGAGCTTCCACTATAGTAGGACTCGTCTCTCACTATAGCAGATCTTGAGCTTCCGTCGTAGCAAGCCTTCGTCTCCTATTGTAGCATATCTTAGGCTTTTGTCATGGCGAGCCATTGTCTCTAAATGTAGTTGATCTTTGGCTTTTGCCGTGGCATGCCTTCGTCTATCACTATTGTAGATCTTAGGCTTTCATTGTGGCAGGCCTTCGTCTCTCGCCATAATAGATCTTGGGCTTCCACCATGGTGTGAGCCTTTGTCTCCCGCCATAGTAGACCTTGGGCTTCTATCATGGCAAGCTTTTATCTCCCGTTGTAATGGATCATAAGCTTTCGCCATGGCGAGCCTTCATCCCCTGTTATTGCATGTCTGGGTCCCCTTGCTGTAGCGAGTCTTTTGTTCTGTCATGGTAAATCGAGTCATCTCATTGTGGCAAGTCGAGCCTTCCTGTCATAACTGGTTGAGGCATCAGGCCATAGCAAGTTTTTCCTACCTCATTAGGGCGAGCCTTCTCGCTTGCTCAGTACAGCAAGCCTTGAGGTTCGCATCGCCTCCGTGGGCTTCAAATTGTCGATTGTTTATGGTGGCTCTATTTTTCCGTGTCTTTGCGCATTTTTATGGATGGCTATTTGCTCGATTAGATTATTAGATGCACTTGATGGCTAATTATTACTCTCTTTCTCTTAAATTATTCTCTAAATGTTCTCTTTTTAACACAGAAAAGTATTTATCCTGCTTTAAATTTGTGAACAGATTGAGACATTACAGTGGTTAAATCGTATGGTGTAAACAAAGCGTGTAGCAAAGAAACATACCTGAAGGATTCCCGCTCATCCACGTTCAAACTTCTCTTCCTCCACCAAAGCCAAAGGTGCCGCGTAGACGGGTACGATGGGTGGGTCCACTTCCCAAACGTATCCGTTACGCCGACGCTCCTTCAGGCTCCAACGTTCGCAACGCAACCAGCTCGCATATAAACGCTTCGGTGTGAGGTTGATGACAGAGCCATGGCTTCCAAGATGAAGCGGCCGAGCAGCTCTTCTTCTCTCCCAAGCCTCCTCCTCTCCTCCCTCAACCTCTTCCTCCTCGTCCTCGCCTCGGCCTCCTTCTCCCCGGTCTTCCTTCTTAGGACCTCCCCGACCTCATCCGGCTGGGCCCTCGTCGCGGTCTCCTCCGCCACCGTCGTCTCCTCTCTTCTGGGCTTCTTCTCCCAGCTCACCCACCTCTGCTTCCTCGCCCATGTCTCCTTCGTCCTCGCTTCCTCCGTCGGCCAGGCGCTCGGCTTCCTCGCCCTGTTCCTCCGCCCCGACCCCAGCCTGCAGCTGCTGGGCTCGGCCAGGAGCAGAAGGGAGCAGCGGGCGCTGGCGAAGGTAGAGGAGGCGCTGCTGCTGGGGATGTTCCTGGTGCAGTCGCTGGAGCTGGTCGCCGCCTGCGCGGTGCAGCGGTGGTGGGCGCGGCAGTTCGAGGAGGTGGAGGCCGAGCGGGAGGCGTCGGTGAGGAAGCGGAGCCGGAGGATGGCCCGGGTGCAGGAGGAGGCCATCGCGAACGCGGCGGCCATGGCGGAAGCCAAGGCGAGGGAGTTGGAGGAGAAGATGAGGGCGAACAACAAGGGACAGTGGGTGAAGAATGATTTCGAAGGATAAGCGATGAGAGGGGCTTACCGTATGGTTGATTCTATGGACGTAATTTAGCATTGTTTGGTCGATCACCATAGGGGTGGCGGCCACCAAATGCTATGTTCTCCTCCGTCTTATATTCCTACTTGTATTATATTTGCATTTATGTTCGTGATTTGTGGTGTGGGCTTTATGAGCCCCGCATTTATATTCTATGGACTAACTCTTTATAAGAGGCTTAAACCCGATGCCCGCGCCACGCTCAAGGCTCGACGCATGCTTGGAACCTCCGTACCTTACCGCCGTCTCTCCGACTCCATCTCCTCTCTTCCCGCCCTAAAATGCCTCCACGCCGTGGTCCTCAAGGAAGGCCTCGCCCACCGCCTCCCGTTGGCCACCAAGCTCCTCTCCCTCGCCGTTTCCCTCTCCCCCGCCGTCGACTACGCCCGCAAGCTGTTCGACGCCGCGCCCTGCCGGGACTCCTTCATGTGGAACACCCTCCTCCGCGCCTACGCCGACCTCGGCCCCTGCGAAGAGGTCCCCGTTCTCTACAGGCAGATGCACCGGGACGGCCTCTCGCCCGACCCCTTCACCTTTCCCTTCGTTGTCCGATCGTGCGCGGTCGTCTCCGCCCTCCGCGAAGGGAAGCAGGCCCACTGCAACGCGATCAAGCACGGCTTCGGTTCGAACGCCTTTCTGCAGAGCGCGCTGGTCACCATGTACGCCCAGAACGGCGTGATTTCCGACTCCGCGTTGGTTTTCGGTGAGATGGCCTTCAGAAACATCGTATCCTGGACTTCGATGATCGCCGGTTACGTCCAGAATAGCGTCTTCGGTAAGGCGCTGGGTGTTTTCCGATGGATGCTGGACTCGGGGACGCAGCCTAATGAGGTCACCCTCGTGAGTGTTCTCCCTGCTTTGAGAGGTTCGGAATGTCTGACCTCCGGGATGTCGATCCACGGGTTCGTGATCAAACTGGGCTTCGACTCCCACCTTTCCTTGGCGAACGCTCTGATCGCCGTGTATGGTAGATGCGGGGGCACAAGTGTGGCGAGGTACCTGTTCGACGGAATGCCGGCCCGAGACTCGGTCTCGTGGAGCACCATGATCGCCATGTACGAGCAAAGCAGCGAGGGAATCAACGCGATCAAGCTGTTCCGGAGAATGCTGACGGAGAAGGTGGCGCCCAGCAGCGTCACATTGGTCAGCGTCATATCAGCTTGTGCCGCCTCCGGAGACCTCGAAACCGGCAAATGGGTGCACGGCTTCGCTCGGAACAGGGGGCTCGACGCCGATGTAAGGGTTGGCAACGCGTTGCTGGACATGTACGGCAAGTGTGGCAGCGTAGATGCGGCCAGAGATGTTTTCGAGAAGCTGGCATGGAAGGGAGGGGTGGTCTCTTGGAGCGCCATGATCAGGGCCTACGCGGCGCACGGGCAGGTGGAGGCAGCGTTGCAGCTCTTCGCTCGGATGCGATATGAGGGCGTTCGACCAAACAGTTTCACGTATACCTCAGTTCTGGCAGCGTGCAGCCATTCCGGTCTCGTGGAGGAGGGGATGAACCATTTTGAAAGCATGAGGGAGTACGGGTTGACCCCCACGCTGGAGCACTGTGCTTGCTTGGTGGACCTCCTCGGTCGTGCCGGTAGTTTGGTGGATGCGTACGAGTTCGTAAAGAGGATGCCCTCGGAGCCCGATGTAGGGGTGTGGGGGGCGCTGCTGGGGGCTTGCAGAATTCACGGGGACGTCAACTTGGCTGAGTCGATATGGGAGGAACTCTGCCGCCTCGGTTGCAGCAGCGTCACGCTGTACGTGCTGATGGCGAACATCTATGCAGAAGCCGGCCGGTGGGAGGATGCGGCGAGGGTGAGAGACATGATGAGGGGGATGGAGCTGAGAAAGGACCCCGCATGCAGTTCTGTGAATGCAGATAGGCGCTCCCATAGAGATAGAGAGCGGCCATTAACAAGAGACGAATCTGTGACGCACGTTGCAGATAAGACGGACATGAGCAGATGCACAGTGGTCGATGATGTTTCGTAAAGGTTTCTTATGTCTTTGGCATTAAAATTTGTGCGACATTCTTTCGGAAGAAAAAGAGGTTAGACTTGGTAGGATATACAACAATTAGCGGTATTTCTCGTCGACTATACTTGATTCCATGAGTATAAAGAAGGGTGTTGATGTTTGAGAAAATCTATTGATGCTGACCTTTACAGGAGGACATGGAAACAGTCGGCTGCCGGAAGAAACTTCAAATCTTCAAGCACAGCAAGTAGTTCTTGTCAGCCGGTAAGTGAGGACCAGCCTGTTCGACCATCTGCAAGGGTGTGCAACAAATGTAAATTTGGGAATGACCAAACGATAGAGCATCAGGCTGTGTTTGCAATGTAGAATTACGATGGCATACCTGAAATCCTATTTGCTCATATAGTTTCTGAGCTCCGATGTTATCCCTGTCCACATCTACAAAGATCTGGTTGGTACCTGCAATGCAAGAAAATAACATCTTAGTAAGAAGAACGACATAAAGAGGAAGACCAATCAGCCTTCACGCATGCTAATTAAACATAGATACAGGAATGAGAAGATACATGTACTCGCCCACAATTATTATCTAACCATTCATGCCACACTACCATCATTTGGAATTAGAAAACATGGATAGAAGCTCATGACTTACCATATGATGCGGCCACGTCAATAGCTAACGATAACATGTTTGTGGCAATGCCTTGCCGACGGGCATGCTTGGCAACACACAAGTTTGCGATATATGCATATCTTGGTCGCTCTGTCTGGGAGAGATTGGAAGATGCTGGTGGCTTCATGCGCTCCTGCTAGACTGTTTAACTCATGAATTTACCAAGAGATGCAACAAAACAGTGAAATAAGGGATCAAACGTGTTGCATACTCCAGGAATTGTCTCTCCGCATAAAAAATGCCGTATGCTTAAATCCAGGGTCCCAAATATGCTATTCATCACAGCGTGCTTAATATTTTCTTCATGCTTCCTTACCTGGTAATTATGAACACAGCACAAAGCAAAATATTAAGACGTGGTCATTGTGGGCCTTTTACCGATTAAAAGAAAAGATTATATATCATGTCAGAGTGAAAGCATGGGTAGTAAAATTCAGAATTGATGCATGAGGGAAAAGAACGAAGAATCTTTACAATTAGGCAGTACTTGAACAATCTAATTTTTAGATAAAGCTGCTAAAAGCTAAATTCATCAGAATGTAGTAGAGCTGGAAAAATGGTTTCACTATGGGTATAGTGTTATTTGGCAAGTCATGCAAGGTCACGACAAGTTGAAGAAATAGATCTTGATTTGACAAGATATGCTCTAATGAAATTATGTAAAACTAAAGAACTAGGTCTAACCTTATTTTTCTTAATGGATCATTTATTCAGAAAACTATATATCAACTGAAAAAAAAGGAGAAAATGGTGCAGGAAGATAACAAAATGTTTAGGCTATCATATAATGATGTTATCTTGGTTCTGATGATGCGTGTAAAAAAGTAGAACAACTCAAATATATACACTGCGGACATGTCAATAGGAGGGTCATATATGGACCTTGATTTGTTCACAACTAAATATGCTATATATCTCTTCTCAAAAGGTAAAAAAAAAAGCCTAAATATCTTCACGGTCCTTGCTGTCAGCTCCAGCACAAGATCCAACTCTAGCATGAGAATTCACCTACCAAGTAGATACCAAGACCTTTTACTTAATAATTTATTGATATCATCTCTAGCACACAAACTAACTCAACTATAGATTCCCAAAGGACCTAAGGCTTCATTATTAACGTACCAATTATATATTAAGACATTTTACTAAATAACTTATTGACGTCATACACCATTATGATTCCCTAAAAATTATTAAACTAAGATACTATTGTATGACCAAAAAAAAAATCCTTTTCCCTTCCACAAGGAAGATCATACATCAAATCTGCAACTTCAAGTACTGCAACTCTACAGATGTTGAAGTTTGCACTCTATTCCACAGTCCTAATCAGTATGGAATCTGTGAGACAACCCATATGCATAACAACCTTGATGAATTGCTTCAGCATTCATTTAATGCTATGTGAGTTTCTGAGGCTGCAATGAAGGTAATAAAACTTGATAAAATCTTCAGGTTTAGTAGGCTAAGTAGCATCACACTACCAAGCACAAACTGCCTAGCAAGATGTTCCACCTAATCTCGAAATTGGCACAAACAAATGCATGTTGCAATGCAACAATTGAAGATAGGCTATTCCTTTTTTCAAGCATAAGTTACAGAATGATGCGAGTAATGCAAGTCAAATGTAGCTATAAGTTACAGTCTGTAATGCCAGCAAAGTAATCGGTAAATACTACATATATTTTGCCCATACCACAACAATGCAGACACACTTCTCATCTTGGTTCGTACTGCATCTTTTCTTTAGTGAATTGAATTCCTGCATCATATTGGCTCATCAAGTTGCAGTCAGTTTATAATATAGGAATATAAAGTCTAACAACAATAAGACAAACTCAAATGGGAAATCAAAAGCCTCAGGTCATTAACAAAACAATATTGATGGAACATTTTGGTAACTTGTTCATGGAAGATGATACACTAGTAGCTAAAACCAGATCTGGGAATACCTCTGTATCCACTCCCTAGTGTCCATGCCAGATATTGGGAGTTGGATATCTATCAATATGTCAGTTCATTATTATTCAACTTTTGTTTTATGAATTTGATTATAATTACTCTTTTTCCCAAAAGTAACTCCCCCCATCGAAAACATGTTCAAAATGGGCTTTTCCGTCATGCAGGATAGTAAAAGTGCCAACATTGATTTTTTTTTCCCCTATGCATCCGCTAGTCAATCTTTCTCCCTTCTTCAGTTCCTAATGTCTGTCTAAGAAACTCAAGTTTGTTTGTTTTACTTATTTAAAACAGAAATATTAAAAATTATAGAAAATGGAACTGAAAAAATGGAACTAAAAAATGGCCAAGAAAAAAGCCAATCCACGTACTATAATTCTCATCATCTGCCCAAAAGTGCACCAAATTCTGCCTGATTATCCCAAATACATGTCTATAATTAACCACTATGATTTAAAAAAAGAGAGACAGAGTTCCCGATACACTGACAAAAGTACCTTTTTGCTAAATTATGCAAAAAAAAAGACCCTGAAAATTCCTTAAAGTACAAGTTCCTAAAAGTGTGTTATTGACTATAACCAAGTCAAAAAGTCTTCTTACGGTGACTTTACATAACAGTCACTTTAATTCGTTGCTATTTGATATTGTACCATCCGTTGCTTGCTTCCAAACCTTTATGTGATTCAATTATTGCAAATTATGTACATGTTGCAAATGGTTTTGTTTCAGACATGGTAGAACATGTAAGTATTGCGGTTGCATTTGAGAATTTTCAAGAGATATCAAACTCTGTATATCATTTTATAACCATCCTAAAGTCAATTTCACTATTCAAGCCAACTTTGCAGCACCTCTCAAAACATTCCTTGATCATCAATCATAGAATGGTCCTATCTTGTCGTAAACGTGCTTCCAATTAGTTACAAAGATATCAATTACATCCACGGTGAAGTATGTCATACCTGAACTGTGAATTGCCTTTTATGATTTTGAAGATGGCTGCAATAGTGCAATGACAAACCCAAAGTTAGTCATTCAGTGCCATCTTCCCTTTTCCACAAAGGAAAAAGCAAGCGGTGATGAATGAGAGAGATAGAGAACTAAGATTCTGTTGGATGTTGATCTGTTACTCGAACATCTGAGCGCTCCTCCCAGTAGCTTTCCGCCCTTAACCACGCCGCCATCTATCATGAAGAAATACCAAAAGAAATCAAGAAACCCTAGATTCGAGATAGTGAATGATTCCAAAGAAGCCACGGAATGGAGAAATGTATCGATCATCATCAACATGGCATTCCTGTCCTACGATCTAAGGTTGAGCTCACCCAAAGTTCTTCATCACGAACGGCCTCCCGTGCAACCAAACGACCGAAGGCCCTTCTGTGCTCGCAATCGAATTCGTCATCCGGAGGCTGCAGACGGTCGAAGCGAAGGTTCGATCGACTCGATGAGGCCTCGATTTGAGGAATTCTTGGTCCCAGATCGCGTTGACTATACGACATCTCGAGCCGCGGAAATCCTGGGGCCGAACGAAGATCAAAGTCGACGCCGTCCTCCTCGGGGTCGGAAGATATAGCCGACCCATCTTTCCTACAAATTACCCTCCGAAGATTAGAAGATCGCATCTCTAAGAGATACATTTCAAGAAACCCATTAGAAGATCGCACCGCCAAGAGATAGATAACCACCAAGAAAAAGGCCGACAAAGAGGATCCACATCTCTTTGCGCAGATAGAGCAGGAACCATCTTTTCCCGATTATATTCACGACACACAGCGAGAGGATTCTACTCACATGACGGCGAAGGCGAAACTTCTCAGAGGTTTCCGTCGATCCTGAATGGGGAAGACTAGTACTCGCCGGAGACCCGCCTGTCGAGCGGCGACAACCGCCACCATCGGTGAGAGAGAAGGAAAGTGAGGAGACAGCGTCGGTCGTTGCTGTCAACTAATTTTAATTGGCCAATTATATATTACCTCTTATAATTAAAACCTTTTCTTTATTTAACTTAATTCATTAAACATTTATTTTTATATAAAAACATTAAATTTAAATCAAATAAATATATAATCGAATGTCATGCATTAAATATAAATCCTTTATCATAACAATTAAGGAAAACATGACCCACATAAAAAAAAATAGAAAATAAAAGTGGAAAGCCTCGTACGTCCCCGTCCGCGTGTTCCACTCACCGTCGGTAATCCACGACCGCCCCTGCTTGGGGTTCACCAATCCCGGTAGGTGGGCATTGGCGGGGCACCGTACACGATGTGTCCGTTGCGCCTCGTCCTGGTGTTCCTCTCCGCCGCCCTCGCTGGATTCTTCGCCTGGAAATCGATCCGCTCCCCTCCCCCTTCCCCGATCTCCGATGACTCCCAGGAGGTCGGCGCCTCCCTCGGCGACTCCTCCATCAAAGGCCGGATCCTCGGCGCTGGAAAGGTCGGATTTTTCTTCAGATCTTAGACCCTTGCTTCTTTTCTTGGAAAGTTACTTCAGATCTTATACGAAGATGATTGCTTCTGAACAGGTGATTGAGAATGGGTACTGGGTGTTTCTTGATATGGCCAGCGGGAGGTACTTGTGGAGGGCGATGAAAGAAAGGTGAGAAGTTGGACGAAATCGATGATTTGGGGGTTCTTTTGGAGCACGCACTCGGTATCCTTTTTCGATGAAATTGGATAGTGTTCTATGCATTGGATTGCAATTTAGCTGATGTGCCTCGGAATTCGATTTAAAGTTGTTGTTTCCTGTTCGAATGATTGTCTCTTGAGATCCGATTCATTGTTTGTGGTGATTATTGTCGTAGTCTCGTCGATTTATATGCTATACTATGAATTTGTCTTATTAGACGGTGTTAAATCGATCAAAAACATCAAAAAATTAGCTTTTAATTTGCCAATGTAATGTCTTGTTTTTCTTATCTCGTTCTTTGAAGATTCAGTTGATGAGCAACAAATTGTACTCTGACATAGGTCTTGGTTTCATCAGTCTTTATCAGAATCCAGAAAACTATCTCTTCCATTTTAATTTCGTGTTCATGAGCTCAAACTGATTGATAATAAACCTGACAAGAAAACAGTAGAGAGTAGAAGACACTGAAGGCAAAAAAATAACTTGCTTCGATATGTACCCATAAATCCATAGAAGCAGCAAATAGAGAATTTGGACTTTGATGGTTGCATTGACAAGGTTCCATTGCTCGACAAAGACTATCGTATCATCGAAATTTATGGGAATTTTATAGTGATATTGTTGGCTTTGATTCTTGCACTATATATGTAGCAATCTCTCGACGAAAAATTTGTTGGAGAAACTTAATGTTACTTCCTTGAAGGTTAACATTTGCTATACTTATTGTGGTTGCCTATTCTTTGGCAATTATACTTTTGTGTCAATTCATTTGACTCGCCTTTCTGATTTCTCATCGGTTGACATCATTTTTTATACTAGTTATTTATTTCCTTTTCTATCTAAGCGAATATTCGCCAGCTTCTCCCTTTTTTTTTCCGACATGAAAGATGCCATCATGTACTTTTATGGAGGAATTGCATCAAAAAATTTCAAGGTTTTATGTTCAATCCTAGTAAGAGATGTATGCTGTTGGATCATTTTCTACCACCAGATTCTTGTCCTCGGATACCCATAGATGAAGCTTTGTGAAGCTCTCTGCCTTATCCTTACTCGATGCATTAATCTAGCATATACATTCGTTGCCACCTTTCTGTAATTTGTTGCTGCCTTATCATGTCGTCGTTTTATTAAAAGCACTTCAATTCTTTCTTCTCTGTCATATATTTAAATAACTTTCGCCATGAATTCACTTTGTTTTCTACAATTATATGTTCATCGACACTCCTATATCTGAAAATATTGCCTTGTTAATTTAATAGCAAATTTTATCGGCTTCAAAGGTTCGTTACTTGCACGTTCGTATATCCTCAATGAAATCGCTACCGAAGCTACCATAATCAGATGTTCGAGGTCTTATTTTCATTTAATATCCTATGAAAAGTTCTTTGTTTTATTCCTTCGATGTATATGCTGTAAGCGATGCCAGATTATAGGTATTTACGAGCAGAAGTTGCAGCCTTCGTTTAATGTAAGAAACAATCGCCATCATCAAGATCATATCTTGACTGTTTCTGTATGAACAAAAAGCTAAGCTTCGCGGTGCAATGCCATTTATTGTAATCTATTTTGTTTCTAATGGAAATGAGGTTGATGTCAACTTTGTCGACATTCTGTTTCTTATGTGATGCCAAGTAAATTACCAGTAAGCAAGCCTTTGGATGATCTCTTTTGGAGATACATGACAAGAACAGAGCCAGTGATTCCAACCTTCTTATATACACTTCTGTTCTCTAGCAAATGGTAAGTAATGCTTAAGCTTAGCCGAGAGGCACATGCCCTTGAGAAAGCATGAATTGGAAATCTGGCATCGCAGCGCCACGCTTTCTTCTGGAGTGAGAGGTAAAAGCACTTGTAGTTTGAATACTTTGAATTCTAGTGTTCCATATCTATCTATGATTTGATCGTCAATTGGATTTTGATTCTTACTTGATTTCTGATGACTTGCAGGCTAGAAGGCATTGGTTGCATGATCAGGTAATTGGTGATCATACATTGCCATTTGGATTGCTTTCAGTGGTTTCCAGGATCTCAATCTCCCACTTGTACAAGCATCTGATTCCACCCTCCACCAATAAGTTTGGTTCATGCAGAACAATCTTTTTGATGGAACTGTATGTTACTCGTACTGCTTGGAATAGATTCTCTTCTTTCTCCAGAAAATGTACTCAACCCTGTATATGAGCAAATTGCATGAGAATTGTCAGGTCTCAAAGCAGAGGGGCTGGGGCTGCTGCATGGGGAGGGCTTCTTCCACAGACAGACTCGTCGCCATCGCGTTGGGGCTCCTCGCGGTGCTGTCGCCGCTGTACGTCAACAGGAAAACGACGGTCAAGCCGGATGATGAAGACGACGGCAGCGGAGCTCTTCTGTCCCTGTGGCTCCCGCTGGCGCTCATACTTCTGGTCGTCATCATCAACCTCGCATGGTTCGTGGAGCGGAGGATCGTGAGGCTCGACCCCTACTGGATACACAGGTTCGGAGGGTCTTCCTGTGGGATCATGATACTGCTCTTGGTTCTTGGAGTCTTGTTGAAATGTAAAGCTTCTCTGGGAGGTTGATCTTGATGTTGCTGTCTGTTAGTTTACTGGCATTTCGTCAAACACATGTAGCGAAGAAGATGGAGGAGTGTTTGTGGAATCAACCTGTTGGGTTTTCACCCCTGGAATGAACTGCTAAGATTTCTGATTGTAATTATGAAAAGTTGTGCTCCTCTTTCATCATCTTCTCAGTTGCAACTCTTTTTCACAGCCTCTAGAAGCATACTAATACATGAAAACTTGATTCAGTGGGGACCTTTTTTGTCTCAATTTATCTACCAATCCAATCTAATAATTAGACCAACATGTGAAATATGGAGTAAGCATACAAAAAAGATATCCAGTAATAAAAAAAGAAAATTTTCACTTCAACAGCTATTATGCATAAAACCACCTTCATTTTCTCAACCGATGATTAAGTAAACAGCTTCTTCGATTAACGGATGCATCGAAGACTACCATTGTCTGAAATTGCATGAAAATGTTGCTGGATTCGAAAAAGAGTACCATCTTAGACATGCAGATGGATTCAAAGAGCATTATTTGGGAAGAACAGATAAGGTTCCCAAAATAAAATCAAATGACCAAAAACTTATTCTAAGAGCCTCCAGAATACGGTTCGAGGATTGATCATATCGTCATATGATCGACACAAGTACGTCCACCAGAATCCTGGTGTGATGATCATCAGGCGCCTGCAAAATGCACGAAATGTGAAACTCGATTAAAATTCTTGGGATATTCTTAGAGTACGACATATCTTAAGATTCTTTAAAAGGTCAATTCAAGACGGGTGAGTTACATTTAGTTGTTTATGGAGCATATAAGAGGACATCAAGATGAAAGCTTTCCAGAAGAAGAAGAGCGTCCTATCCATCTTGCTCACGTAAAGTTTCTTATATTGTAATAGACGGGAGATGTTTTCGATGGAAGAAAACAAGGGCGATCAATACATAGAGCCTATCTATTGTCAAGTGATATGGTTTTCCTCGGAACATCCTTCGTCTGATGATGCAGACGAGAAGACGGATAGAGGATGATATGTCATCGAGATATGCGTGTACATATAAAGATAGAACATCAGATTAATAGAGGATCCATAACCATATCACCAGTCAAGCTAAAAGAGGTCAACAGACATGCATATGGATATGCATGTAACATCAGAGCAAAAGTATAACTGTCCTAATTCATGTATTAGAGACCCTCATGCGATTTATCACTCTTCTATTTACAGGTAACCTAAGAAATGGCTAACTAGCATAGCATTATGAAACAAATTTCTTTTGTTCATCCTATTTGTTTCTCCCATACCAAAACATTTCCAATGCTAACACCGCTCTCAACATTTTCCCGCACACCTTTTTCTCGCCGATCACAATCAAAATAATTCGGCACTGATCACAAATGAAGTGGCCAACAAATCCATTTTTGAACTAAGTACCACAAACAACAGTCCTATCCTCATTTCAATCTAGAAACTCACAACAAAAGTGCAATTCACACTCGGAACTTGTAGTTGGGAATCCTTACGGTTCATTTATGTTTCATTAAGTTGCCTATAAATAAAATCTCACAAGCCTTAGTCAAAGGTACATCAAACAATTTCTCTTACTACCAAATCTCCTTCTCTCACATGTCTCCATCTTTGCAATAGAGAAGTCTTATTGGATATAACTCGAATGCCTCTCACAAGCATCTCTTTGCTCGCGACGGTCATTCTAACAAATCTTACCACAAAACGAACCTCTCAATCAGCAAAAGTTAATGAGATCAGCATAGTGCAGAAAAAGATCAACAGTAAGAAGAAAAATCCAAGATTCAACATTGAAGTACATCAGAAAAATAAGACAGATTCAACATACAAAAGTAGTTCATTCTAGTACGATGACGACGATACTAAACACCATTTTCAAGCCCTCAATTTGCATATGAACTCATCATCATCATCATCCATTTAGCACATCCACACGAAACCGATATATCGATATTTAACATAATTTCCCCTAAAAAGACTAAGAAGCAAGTGACATTATTTGCTCCCCTCTTCAAATTCCATGTTTTGATCGACTGCTAAGAAAGGCTCTAAATCTTACAAACCAATAGCTATCTATCATTTCCACATTGTTGGAATATATAGAAGGCATTCAAAGGCGCTATCTATCTATATACCAATACAGAAAGAAGACTATAAACTGTAATTGGAGCAAACCTCTTTGGGTGAAGAACCGTCAAAGGCTGGCGGCAGGCGGTGGCGGCACCACGGCATCCAACACGATGACGCTCTCCAGAAGCGGCCTCACCTTCTCTTTCACAGACTCCAGCAAGTCCTTCTCTCCCGCATCCAACGCATCAAGCTCCTCCAGGCTGGGGAACACCGCAAGAAACCCCACGTCGAATCCCTTCGCCCTGGCCGGCGAGAAGTTCTCTCCGTAGCTCAGCTGCGTCACCGCGGCCGGCGCAAACGACTTGGCCTCCGCAAGCGTCTGCGCGAGCTCCGCCGCGGCCCCCTCCTTCGGCTTTGCGAGGGTTAGCCGCACCGCCGATCCGGTGGGCGGCGCTGCCGGGCCGTCGAGTTCGGCGACCCAGTCTACGGCCATGATGTCGTCGCAGATGGGGAGAACGTGCTCCTTGACGACGGCCACATGGGCCGGGTGGGCGGAGTAGGCAGCGAGGTCGGCCTTGGAGCGGTAGCGGCTGTGGAGGAGGTGGGTGAACCCGGCAGCGGAGGCGGCGGTGGATCGGTGTCGTAGGACGGGGCCGGCGGCGAGGTGGACGGAGATGTCCAGGGAGACCAGGGAGCGCAGGTTGGAGACCATGGCGTCGACCTTGGACGGGTCGGTGGAGTCACGGACCTTGAAGAGGACGACGTGCTCGACGGTGGCGATGGCAGCCATCGTGGCGGCGGAAGAAGCGGAGGCGAACGGGCGGCGGCGAGGTGAGGACAGGGGGCGAGCGGAAGAGAGGAAGAGGGGGAATTTGAGGGGTGAACGACGGCGGTGAAGATAGGGGAAGGTTTTCAGACACGCCATTTCAACTTTTGACTACGATGCGGGAATTGTATCTTATTTGACGGCGGCGGCGCCGGGGCGCGTTAATACACAGATGCTCTGCAGGATTAGTTGACCGCAGTGCATACCCCTTTTGCTAAACGTGGGTAGCCTTGAACCGAACCAGCCGAATCGAACGGATTGAACCGGATACGTTAAGGATGACTCGCCGGTTTAATGGGCCTTGTCGACAAAGGGTTATATTAATCTCGCCTCGGGTCGGATAGGGTTCTCTTAACCCAACTAAGACTATTTCTTATAAATGAATAGTTTAGAAATATTTATTTTTTATTTTAGATTATAAATAATAAGAAATAATTATAAATAATAATCTAAAAAAAGATTAAAAATTATATATAATATCCTATAAAATATTCATTTCAATGGGATCAATCATAAAATGCTTATCAAACCATAGTAATCGAAGTCATTCTTTATTTGTTCATACATCTACTCCATTATATTACTCATGTATTAGATCATGTCAATAATCCACTCAACAAAGATTATCTTAATTATATTCTTATCTTTTTAATTTCACTAAGACAAAGCTTGTCGTCAAGATATGATATTTTATTTGACTATAATCGTTAATTGTTATACTAAGTATGATGCATCAAAGTGTTAAATTATAGTTATAGATCATTGTCATCTCATCCAAAAGTCTCAATCTTATAAAGAAAAGAAGAAACATAATGCATGGCTCCGATATCATCATGTTAAGATATTAGACTTTTATCATCAATTAATATAAGAGTTTAGGTTGGTAGACGAGACAACTTATCTGTTCATTTATGAGCTATGCTTTAGCACATTCTAATGTCTGCTTCCGATGACCTCATGTCATTAATTAATAATACAATAGATATTTTTGTGTCATCAAACACCACCTTAATTGTTTATATATCATGCGGAGAGGATAGATAGCAAAGTTACCATAACATAGAATTAGTTGACTATTTGTCAATTGTCATCCAAGCAATTATATTTTTCCTCTAAAATTCAATTTAAACTTTTTAAAATAAATTTAGAAGACAGATGAAATATGATATTTAATCTCATGTTTATAGCTAAACTTCAATAATCATAGCGTAAATATAGGCTCGATTATATCGAAAAAAAAATATTTAAAGTTTTTATTTGATAAATTATTTGAACATATTAGAATTAAATTTATTATCTTAGATTGACGATCAAATTTGATATCATGTGATAGAAAAATTAACATACCATGCAATAAATAGCCTACAGAAACAAAAAAATAACTCAAGTTACTTTGATGTGTGAGTTCTGTAGCGGGGAAGACAGAATGAGTCGACTTGGCATGCGGAGGCAGAAAGGCTAATCCACTCTTTTTGATAAGACATATTTTGGACCCAAGACACGTGTCAGTCGATGCACACGTCAAATCAGAATCCGTATCGAAACGTTGTTCAACATGTCCCGTCTCAAAAGCTCGGGGTGGTACCGTCTAACGTCGCTCCGCACGTTCCGAGATGGCGACGAGTTAGAAATATCGTCCTATCCCTCGAGGATCAACGACCACGTCGAATCCGTGTAAAATCGACCATCGTACAATAATATAAACGCCCTTGACAGGATGAGAAAAACAAAGGTTTTTTGATAATAAAGTATTAGAAAGATGTTTTTTATGATATCCACAAATCAAATTCTTAAAAGATAATTAGAAAAATACCTTTACCATTTGATGAACCATAAATGGGTGTTGATGGTGAAAAGTTCGAGTGATCAAAATGAAAACAAAGATGATCGAGTTGGATGAGATGAACAGATGCAATTACGCTTCAGGGGATCATGCGAAATTCCAGGGACGGTGGGGTAATTTTGCATCGCCCCCAATCCTAAAAGATTGACCGACTCGGAACAGAGACCGGCGTAGGTGAGAGGCCGCTTAAGCTCATGGCGGTGAGACCACCCTCACGAGGCCGAGATGAACGCAGAGGCCCACCGCCGTTGCTCTCGTTCTCCGCAGCAGATCTTTTCTTGTATTAGTTTACCGTGGTTCGAGGATCCCTTTCCCGTCTCTCTCTCTCTCTCTCTCTAGTGTACCTTTCCTTGGAGATTCGACTCGATCGCCGATAGCATCGAGGGTTCTCGCCCTCGATTTCCTCGCCTCCCACCCTTGCCGAATCTCCAAGGTATGTCTCGAACCCGGAAGACGAGATTGGCAGCGCAAAGATCTCTTTTCTGTGCGCTCGATCGCAACAAGATCCTTTCTCGAGTAGCTTTGTTCATGGTGTTAGAGGGGATTACCAAGAGCTGGGTGTCAAAAATCGATCTTTTTGTTTGCCTCGCCCTTTGCTCTCGGTGAGGTGTGATCTTCTGCTATGCGGTTGCCGTTTAAGGAACTGGTCTAAAGGCTTTGTTGTACCGTCTTCCGCAGCTGCTCGGTTTCCTGTTCTTGTCCAGAATCATAGAAAGACCCTTTTGCCGTCCGATTTTTCCTTCCGTTTTCCCCGGACAAAAAGATTGTTGTTTTCTGCTTCTGCTTCTGCTTCTTCTTCTTCTTCTTCTTCTTGCTTTTGGTTTCTTGTCTTGATTGATTCAACGTGAGATTTGCGGCAGGGGGTGGCGTGGAGAAAGAAAGCTACGGGGAATTGGATCGGCTTTCGTGTGCCATCATAGAGAAAGAACCATGCTATCTGATCTCCCTTTTCTTTCTGAAAAGGAGCTACGGAGGGCCATTATTTCCTCACGATCCTTGTCTCTCATGCCTACCAACGCCTGACACCTTTATATTAGATTCCCCTCTTCCCTCCCGTGTCTCTTCCGGCTGATCTCAGTTTGCTGTTCCCTACCCAAACTGCTTGATTTCATTCAACCCGGGTCTTCTTCCCAAGTCTTTTTCCTCTGTAAAGTCGCTTCTTTTTCTGCCTTTCTTTCTCTCTCGTGATATGATTCGTCTGCAGGGCTATTTGTTTTGATCTGATTCGAGTTGGTGAGAGGAAGAGGGAGAGGGGGATGATGGAAGGAGACCGCTTCTCGGGGCTTGGCAATGGAACCCAGGTGGACGGCAAAGTCCTGCAGACCTTCCAGAAGAGCTTTCTCCAGGTGGAGAACATCCTGGATCAGAACCGGCAGTTGATCAATGAGATCAATCAGAACCACGAGTCGAAGATCCCCGACAACCTCAGCCGCAACGTCGGCCTGATCAGAGAGCTCAACAACAACATCCGCCGCGTCGTCGACCTCTACGCCGACCTCTCCCTCTCCTTCACCCGCTCCATGGAAGCATCCTCCGAGGGCGACTCCGAAGGAAAGCCCGGCCACAAGCGAAACAGGCCTGGGTAGAGAGGAAGCAGATGAAATGGCTTAGTTAGAGTTAGGATCGACAAACTGCAAGCTTGGGGATGGGATCGAAATAACAAAGCGACTGCTTGCGCTGTTGTAATCATTATTGTGACGCTCAATCTTCTATCTCAGTTATGTGAGAACAGTCTCTGCTTCTTTCTCTGTTCCTTCTTCTTCTTCCTGTTCTTGATGTGCGGTTCCCTTTTGCCATGGAATCAAAAGTGTTGATCTTTTTCATGGGACAGATGCCTGCAAGTTTAGTGGGCTCCTGTAGATGCCTTGGAGACATCAGCAAAGAGAGTTCTGCTCTGGATAAATTTGTTGGCCGCCAATCATACTCCACAGAGCCATGGAATCTCACATGAGGAACAGATGAGTCTTTTTGACCACTTTCTTTAATGTAGCCGGTGCCAGTCGCTTGCATATTCTTGGGTTGGAGGTAAAACACCATAAAAGAATACAGAAACAAGGGAGAGCTACAGAGCAGACATCTACGTACCTCTGTGACGGATGGCAGTGAAAGAGGACAAAAGGTGGAGATGGGGGTGGGGGTGATGAGGCCTGCTCCGATGCTTATCCCTTAATATCTGGTGATGGATTCCACCACCACCACCACCACCACCACCAGTCTGCTGTCTGAGTTGATCTGCCATCTGTCCTCAGGTGGACCAGCAGAAGCAATCCGACACTGCTTGTTTGCAGGAGTTGGTAGGAAGATCCACATGGGTCATCATCTCCCTGGAATTGCCAATTCCTGCTGAGATGCTTAGTCGAGTTGTCCGCAGTGGGCAGAGAGAGATGTGGCGATGCCATGGCTTCTGACAACTGGTTTCTGGAATAAGATATGTGTTAGCCTGCTGCTAACTGCGGTCTCACTGCTGTCATTTTGGCCTTTCAGCTATCGCTAAATCTGCAGTCATTTAGCATATACATATATATATATATATATATATATATATATATATAATGTTGAATCAGTCAATACATGAACAAAACGTGACAATGAAGAAGACAGAGGATGGAATAAGTTCTTGCATCACTCGCAAACTACCTGCCAAGAAAACCAGACCATGGCATCCTTATCATCAACTCCAGTCTGATCAAAACATACAGCAGAACAGTGTACTTTCCCGTTAAGCAGAGGGCCTGTATCAGAAGCTTGCATGGTTGTATCATATTGTTCCTCGGAATAGGGCATATGACCATTATCACACTCTGTCTTCCGCTATATTTGATATTGGATTCCACCAGCAATCTTATGTTTCACCTATGTCTGCATACATTCAACTAATTACCATCTACTTTAAGAGCGGAATCCGCACACAATTACCAGACTGCCATCGGTCTCTACATGCGCGGGTGCATCACCATAACGTGTCCCATAGCGCAACTTATCTAAACTCCCGTCTCGATAAACGAAACACGCGAGCGGGTATCTGCAAAACTACCTCTTGTTTCAATTTAGGGTTTCGAGACGGGAGAAGAGCAGCGGCGTCTCGCTCTCTCTCTCGCTCTCTGCCTCGAGCAGGTCGGGCGAAGGCTTCGGACCAGAGGACGCAACGCATCTCTTTAAAGCCCTAAACGAGGGATGACTCTTGGAATCCGATGTGGGTTTTTCTTTGCCGATGGTCGACGCCGAGGTATCGAATTTAATTCTATAGCCGAACTAAAGATTTACCATTGTTGGCTCGGATTAAGTCGATTCCGTATGGTTTGCTACGGAATCCTGATTCTTTGAGGTTGTTCTTGATGGGATTCCGTAGGTATTATCGGCCCCTCGCCGTGTGGTGTGAAGCGATTGTGGATGTGTTGCTGCTGGTCAGATTAGATCTAACTTTGGAGATTTGCGGTACTTCTCGATGATCGTTCTGCCCACCGGCTTAGTTGAGACAGAGGCGAACGTTGGTGGGGGCGATGCTGCCATGAGTAGTTCGTCCGGTGAGTCCTTTGTGACTATATTGATCTATCCTCATACCCCTTTGATCGAAATTGTCTTTCTCATCAATGTTGCTCTCGATGTCCCTTTTGGTGTGTTATCTATCTAACTCGATGCTTCAAGGAAAAAGAAAGATACTTAGATAGTGGTATGGCCTTCTAGTGCATTTCATTCTCTGTGCATCATATTTATAAGGTTATACGATGGTTGATTCACATGGGTTGGTGAGAGGAAAATGGGGAAAATACCGATCAGAGAATTTTTTTTGCTGAATTATGTCAATGCAGAAAATTATAATGCCAGTTTGATATGGACAATCGATCATTTTCCTAATGCATGCTCGATCCTACTGGTGTTGTATGTTCAGAACATGATGGATGGTGATGTTTCTGTTCTTATTCCTGATAAGTTTGGCCTGTGAAATACTGAATATTCCTTGAAACCTATGAGATTGTATAGGCCTTGTCATAGTGGCTTTGATAGGGTTTTTCTTACAGATGAGTGAATGCTAATAATCCTTTTTTTTTTCCCTTAAAGATCTTCAAACATAATATTTTATGATGTTCTAACTTCTAATGTACATATTGCCGCAACTTTTGTGGATCTTTTGGAGATAATCGAGTTTAATTCTTTGGTACTACATGTCATCTTTACAGCAGGTCGGTTCCTCGTTCCGATACTGTGTCTGAGGATGACAAGATTCCACGTAACCCTTCCATGCATTTTTCTGCAGTAGTTGTCATTTTATTGTGCTATTGCTTACTGCATTGGAGGGTAAATTTTTGATAATGTACAATAATTTTCTGATTTGTCTTTTGCTACTCCAGAGTCTTGAGCCTGATCGGATCGGATCTTCAAACTTGAGAAACATTACAGATTTAGCATCATGAACTCCTTTGGTGGTGTTCTTTTGTATATCCTTTGATTAAGATCAAGAACTGTCTTCAAGATTTTACATAGCTTATAGTCTCAGTATTAGATTGGGATCTGAATTTACCTATCGTGTGTAGTAATGTCTGTTTTATAATAGAGGAAAGTGTGTGGGTTATCAATTCTCCCCTCCTATGTGGATGATAGGGAGATCCTTGTAACCCACCCTCATAAACTGTCTTCTAGATGAGGATACTCTCCTCATCCTCATACAGATTAGAGGTTTGTTTTACTCGTTATCGTGTCATTTGTCAAATTCATCTCATGTTTGATCTTGCAGGGTATGAATCTTGGAACATCTAGTCAGAAAATGGTGACTTGCTATCTTGCATTTGAAAATAATGCCCTTCTCTGCACTGGAATTGTTCAATCTTTTCGGTATGTCCATCTAATTGTCTTCTTGCCGTGCAGGATTACGTTTATCTCGGTGTTTTGTTTCCTCGCCAACCATGTTTTCGTCTACATCAAACTCAAGGAAATGGGCAGTCGGGTTATATGCTAAATGTTTTGTTCCAACCGACGATATTTCTTGGGCAACATTCTGTATCCATATACATGGAAAATTCTTGGAAAGATATTAGTGCTTGAAGTCAGGGTCAAGCTTTTTGAGTAGTATTTGAACTAATGAGCTATACGACTGATGTAGCACGCAAGTGCATCAATTTTGTCAGCAGGGAAGAAATGGAAGCTGTCACTAGTTGAGCCCTTTAACCACTTAATGTAACTCGAACATACTATTATTTTCTTCTAGTAGTAGACAAATAAAGTAACATGCTAAAAAAAAAATAAACAGGGGGTGCATATTCGCGTGCATTTGATAGCTACTTATTTGGCAGGAACATGTGCAGTACGGACGAAAAAGAAAGTATTAGTCTTTTCGCTAGACTTGTTTTTTAACTATTTTTCTGTAAATTTTTATCTTTTTGGACTTTTCTCTAATGATGTCTCCATTGTTCAATTTTTTTTCGTTTGACATTCTCTTTTTTTTTTTCTGACACTCCAAATTCTTTTTTCCTTTTTTTTTTACTCTTTCTTCTCTCATCTACTCCTATTTCTTTCTCATCTACATCTTTTGGCCATGACGAGAAAGTGGATCTTGCAGGCAGAGGCAAAAGCAATGGGCAACGAGAAAATAATTAGGGGCATGTAATATATTAGAAAAAAAATAAAGGTATCACATGGGAATATTAAAAATGGGACATCATCAGAAAAAAAAAAACTTCAAAAAAGAGATTGTTTCATGAAAAATGTTTAATTTTTTATCTATCTTTTTTTGATGAAAAATTTTGTTTTAGTTATCTGGTGTAAATAAAAATTTGAAATTCGGGAAACGACATTAAACTATATTTTCGCAAGCCGAGCATTTCCTTACACCCTCAACCGGCATTAATATCCAGGTTTCGGAGAAAGAAATAAAAAAAAATTAAGAATAAAAATATACTGTTCATTTAATATGATGGAGATGCGGGGTATCGATCCCCGTACCTCTCGCATGCTAAGCGAGCGCTCTACCATCTGAGCTACATCCCCGAACTGAAATATTATAAGTACAGATTTTATTTAATGTATAAAATATTTATCTTTTGCTTTCTTGAGATTATGCTGTTGGATGTACTCGGAAAACTTGTGCAAGAACTTTGAAAAAAAGAAAGGGAAAACCAAAGCGGGAAAAACAGCAAGGAAGGAACCTAACCTGGGATGAATAGTAGTTGAGGGGAGGGACCATGGCGAGGTCGATTCTTGTCGCCTCGGATCTGGCGCAGGTGCACCCTTCAACCCCTTGCAAGAAGCCGACAGCAATGCTTCACCGAAATCTGAGAAAGAAGACCAGCCAGTCATTATGGCCATCCATTACGAACTCTCAGAGAGAGGGCACAGTGCTTGCTTTAAGATTAGGACCAGGCATCGTTAGAGCTTGGTCCAAAAGAGAAAGTTGCACGTGGGGCGGGCTCCTTCACGCGTGCCAGCCCGTGTCAGGGGAGGCTTTAAAGATCGTTGCTGTTGATCCATCCCACACACATCTTTCTCAAAAGGCACACCACCTGGTTTTTTGGTTCCTCCAGCCTCGGATCTGTTTCCCATCGGGCCCTCATCATTTCTTCGGCCTTTGCATTCACTAGCGACGTGAAGTGGGCTATGGCTAAAATCGAGTCGGATCTCGATGCAACACCTCTTTGGGATCCGACTCAAATAGGAAACGCCTACATATTGCATGAATTTTAGAGGCAAATCGGGTCCGGATCTTGATATGTTAAACATACTTTGTCAATCGAGATTCCACATGTCGATCCTGGTCCATTGCAAAATGAATTCATTCACCAGTAAAGATGAAACTAAAATAATCCTTCACATTATTTTTGACTTGAAAGCATTCATTCCACTAATAGTCAACATTCTAAGACTGTTAACTAGAGACTAGACTCTCTCATCATCCACTCGTATAACTTCGATCAGGGTTGAGAGTAGTTCAAGAAAACTTCATTTCAAGTCGAGTTATTCAGAAGAGATTAACTCCAAGTCACGACCATCTAAGCTCATATCTTGCATCAGGTGTCCGATATCTAGAGCTGATTAGATGAAATCAAGTAAAAGTCGATAGAGTATGGGAAAATAGGTCATGTCAGATTAATTTCGACATGTAGAATTGATGATCAACTTGGGTGAGTTGGGTCCCAAGCAAATGCAGCAGTGGAGCCAGAGGACAAAAGCAAAACGGAAGGAAAGAAAAGAAGGGAGGATCTGTCTCCTTCATCCTTCATCCTTCATCCTTCACCTCTGCCTCATTCTTCGGGATCGCCTATCTTTTCTTCTTGTCTCCCTGCCCCCCCTCTCTCTTGCTCCTCTGTCATGCCTCTTTTTCTCTCCCTACTGTTCCCACACAATCGTCTGCTTTAGTTTAACGAGAAGAAAAGCCAGCAAGCACGAGGAAACTGAGAGACCAGTCCTTTTCCACACTCTCTCTCTCTCTGTGCATTACATATTATGGTGTCAAGGCTGTGTTAAACAGCCAGTTCTATATTTTGGGACCATGTATTTGATGGGACTATAAAGGTTCTATTCCGCTTTCTACGGACTGCTAAGAAAGAAGAGTTCATTAAGCAATCAAGCGAAACACTCACTAGTGTTTCGCCATCAGCATTCATACACAAACTCAACTCTTGTGCAGTACTGTACTCTAATCCGACCAAAAAGCTGGAACCAGTTGCTCATGTCTGCTTACACACAAGGGTGGAGGAGTTCAGCTGCAATTGTTATATGCCTAACCCACGAGGTACAACTGTGCAAGAAGTACTACACCAAAAATTTGATGACAAAGTCAAATATTTGAGTAGCATAGTCCTTGCAAATATGATTGAAGTAAAAGCAGTACTACTTAAGACTCTCTGCACACTCCTTTTACACTTGGCTACACCAAAAATTTGATGACAAAGTCAAATATTTGAGTAGCATAGTCCTTACAAATATGATTGAAGTAACCATTAATTTAAAAAACCTAATGGTTAAGAAATGTCTCAGAAATATAGAAGAGCGGATATAAAATTCCATCTCATATCATAATAAATGTTTTAAATTACATTATAGTGAATCTCGAAAGCTTAAATTGTTGAAAAAAGATTCATTATTCATTAAACTCCTAAATAGTCTCAACCGTTAGCTACATCCTTCTTCAGCAATTTGTTTAAACTTAAAAGAGACACAAGGAGTAAAGTTTAGCTTAATGATCCAAGAAACTACGATATGCATTTAATTAGTTGTCTATAGTATGCAAGAAATTCTCCGGTAAGAAAATTTGAATAGCTTAGTGTTCTTTTTGTTTTCTTTCAATTTTTGTGTTCATCATCATGTTCTATCTTAAACCTTGAAATTACAACCTGGTATGTTTTAGTATGCTTCGAGGGGTCAAGACTGTGCCAAAGTTATTAAGAAATTATGAAAAACCTTGTTGGTCGATTGTGATCGGTCATGACAAAAAAAAGGGGAAGGAAAACAGTGCCCACTTTGCTCTTTTCTTTACCCAGTTGCTCAATGTTCCATCTTGCTTTCCTCTAGCCTCACACGTTCTCTCGGACATTAAATCTGGTGAAGACAGCACGCTCCCAAGCCTCAGAAGCTTCCCCTCCTACCATTCAAAATTCTCAAGGACCATCCTACACTCTCAAAGCCGACAACTAGGCTCCACGGGGGCATATGATTAGTGCATTAATTACTTGCTTCAATTCACTAACCCGAGGCCAAGACACCTTTTAGCCCACACGTGTCACCTTAATTTAATCACCCCCAAGCAAAGCAAAAGCTTCCCACCAAATCATAAGACTTGCTTAATTAGCAGTTGTAAGCAACTGGGAGCAGTGTTAACACTATACATTAAACAAATTGATACTCAATCAAGACCTATTCGTAGGTAATTAAGAGGTCAGAAGAAGTTTCCAATTGACAATTGAACTTAGAAAATATAAATATCCTAACTAATTCAATGTAAAATTGATGACACCAAAACAATCTTATTAATTCTATCCTTCTGTCGAAAATGTGTTTTTGTTACTAAATCAACTCTACATAATGCATTGCATTGCAGAATTAGACTGATCTCTTCGTGTACTACCAATTTAAGGTGGGGGGTATGGTTCGTACCTGCGTTGCGTGACGGACAGCAAGCGAATCAGGCGGCGGAGTCGCCCGTCACGAATCACACGGACCACCTCGACCGGGCCCCGCGCCTAGAAAAGGAATCAGAGAAGTGACACGTCAGCAAGTACTCGCGCGTGAATCCCCCTCAAAAAGACGCGCTACCGAGCGAGTGATCCCATCACCGCCCACCTTTCTCGTCTTGCTTTCTCTTGCTTCTCATCGAGAGCCATTCGCACTTCTGCTTCTCACCGCCCAACTTCGCCTTTTCCTGTCTCTTCATCGTTTCCTCGCCTGCGAAGAAGAGAACATAGAGATAAGACCGAGGGAAGAACTTAAGTGTTGGTGTTCTGTACTTGCTTTGTATACGTACGTAATGGAAGAGAGGTGGGCGAGGGGAAAGCCCAGGAGCCGTCACCAGAACCCCTCCTTCTCCTCCACCCTCCTCGACGCCATCTACCGCTCCATCGACGAGTCCGACGGCGGAGCCACGCGAGACCGCCACTCTCTCATCACCGTGCCGAAGCGCCCTCCGCCGCCCCTCCGGCCCGCGGCAGAGTGGCGAACCGCAGAGGCGGCGACCCGTTGCCGGCCGCTTGCGCCCATCTCCACCTCCAGTTCCTCAGACAAGTCAAGCTACGGCGGCTTCTCCTCCTCTTCCGAGCCCGACTCGGGGGTAAACCGGCTCAGGCCGATCATGACCGTCGGAGCTCCGATCCGCTCCATCCCTCCTCCGCCGGCTGCTGCGGTGTTCGACCGCCGTGAGGAGGAGAAGAAGAAAAAGAAGACGGGCTCGATCCGCGGCAGGCTTCGAGACGCGAGAAGTTCCAGGTCGGCCGCGCCGGCGTCCCCGGGCGCCCGCCTCGCCGGCTTCCTCGGCTCTGTATTGTCGGCGGTGTCGGTGATCCCGAGAAGGCCAACGCCCACCGCTGTCACCGCCGCGGGCGGATGCGACGACTCCGCCTGCTCCACGGCGTCGTCCCTCTCGCGATCCTGCCTCATCAAGAAACCATCGACGAGGGAGCAGCCTCCGTCGGGGGAGGGGGAGAAGCGATCGGTGAGGTTCTACCCGGTGAGCGTGATCGTGGACGAGGATCTGCGGCCGTGCGGGCACAAGAGCGTCTATGGAGCGGACACCGCGCCCCGAAGGCCGTCGGCGGTGGCAATGAAGGCGAGGAGGAGGGTGGAAGAGCTCCTAAGAGGGATGGAGGATGAGGAAGAGGAAATGAGCGATTCAAGCTCCGATCTGTTCGAGCTGCAGAACTTGACGGTGATCGGAAGGGAAAGAGGAAGGGGAAGGGGAGTGGGAGGAGGTTACGGTGATGAGCTTCCGGTGTACGAGACGGCTCACCTCGACATGAATCGCTCCACTTCCCAGTCTCAACGTTTCCTAAAAATACAAGAAAGAATGTAAAGAAAAAGGCGGAGAATTGGGTGGTGATATCTTAGGAGGGTTTGGTGTCTTTCGTTGATCTTTATCGGTTTCTTACTATAGTTTGGGTTTATCTCTTTGTAAGACTGTTCGGTTCTGTAGCTCTCAGCTTGTGTACGAATACGAAGAAAGCTTAAGTATTATTGTTCATGAACTACCAATTAGTGTCTTATTGCATGGGGTATGAGAATCTTATATGAATTTGCCTATGATGTACGATCGAGGGATAATATGATAGTTAGATCTCTCTAGTGTTTTGATTCTTAGATTTAAAAAATTTATATTAGAATATCTATAGTTATGAAAGTGTAACGTCTAATTTTATTTATCATAATATTATCAGTTTTATCGATAAAAATATCAAAATGATAGATAAAAAAATAATTTTAATATTTTAATTATATTTTTGATGATAACAAATAAAGACACAGTAGGAGGTCGCGGATGGTTATTGTGGATGAAAAAAAAAGAGCAACAACGAAATATGAGACAAAATAAAAGGAATAAGAGGACGATACAGATGTTGACGCTTTGTCAGTGCCAACAATGATGCAAGGAAGGGCAACATCACTCTGTATCTGCATTGGTGTCGATGCAGATGCCAAGCGGCTCTTTTGTTGCTCTGCATTTGTGTCGATGTCGACGTAGATGCATAGCATCGACATCTGTGTCGCCCTTTTCTTCCTCTCTTCATCTCTCGTCGTAGCTCTCCCTTTCCATCCGTAATAGTCATCCATAGCCCCTAGCGACGTCGTCGTCTATCACCACCGAAAAAATAATTAGGAATTTGAAATTATCCTTTTACCCATTGTTTTATGCTTTCATCGATAAAATCGACGATGTTAGGGTAAATGTAGATATTTCACTTTCATAACTATACGGATTTCAATGTAAATTTTTTAAGTTCAGGGACTAAGATACTAAAGAGATCTAATTACAAAGAATAATTTATAATTAGCTCTACTGTCAATCCAGTAAAAGAATGATTTAAAGAGCTTGACAGACAAAAGAGGGAAACTTGTAGAGGTATAAGGAAGCAACTTGACACAAGCTATTAGTTGCTCAAACAATAAGTCTCAAACCAAGCCAAAAAAATGACAATAAAGATACAAGAAGGTTGGTTAAATCTGAACACAAAATATCCTTCAAGTGCATCATGGTAAGTTATGTTGGCAATTGCTTCAGCTCAAACAAATTAAGCACAGGAACATAGGGGATTCAATAAGTTGAGCAAACGAAGGTTTTCCAAGATGATCAAATAACAATCAGTAGCATAATTCTCTGCAATCATTCACAATTTGATGATCGAAATGATCTATCTGATTAATAGGCCCTAAACAATCATATCATGGTTTAAGATTCTTTAAACCCTAATATGTGAGTGCCAAATGGTCCAAATCCTATAACTGAAGTAATTACTTGACCTCTCTTACCAATAAACACTGCATAAAACTAAAAAAAAAAGGTTCATTCTGCACCTAGTATGTTCATGGTATTATAATCAATATGATCACCTATTAATAAGCATATTTTGCACCTAATCTTTTTCAACATATGGTACACATTAATCCATTTTCGGTCCTAGACTTGAGCATATACAGGGTTTCTACATGCACCATGAATATTTTCCAAAACGGCCCATTCCCATACCACATTTGCATGAGCCATGTGCCATGGGCCAGTATGAATTTGCAAGTTGATAGATTGAGAGAAGTGTCTGCGACAACTTTTTGCTGATTCTGTGATTTGAGTTTCCGAGGCACCAGTATGAGAGTTGCCACGAAGCCACCTTCACCTTTTTGAAAATGCCTGTAACATGGATTTCCAAGTTAATAGATAGAGAATTATGCATGTCTGAAAGTGCCTCCAGCATTAATTTATTGCACATGCATTTCAACAAAAAATGGAACTAAGACATTATCTTTGATGTGCAAAAACTAGATAAGAGTAGAGACGTCAGCTATAAAAAACAAAAAATGTGCTCCAGGATTAGACAAAATCGAAGGATTATCAGCAAAAGCCTGAGGAGGTTCTTATTCCAAACAAGATAAGAAGTTTTAGACATGTCTCCAAGGACAAACTTTGACCCCAGTTATGTTCTCCGAAGGTATCACTATCGCGCTGGATTGATCTACAATCTTCCTTATAATCTCAATCATAATAAAGATCAAATTTAACTCAAACCTGTAGAAGAAGTGCAATGCTCAAAACCCTCTAGGTAGTTTAAGAGTAGGCAGAGAAGATCAAAGTGAGAGCACAATGTCACACAAAAAGGGAGATGATGACAATTTAAGCATGGCAGATGGTGAGCTTCAATGACACCACCAATCTGCGTCACCTTTTCTGAATAGACTACAATATTAAAAATTAAATTTTGTCTCTAAATGGCCATTCGAGGATTGGGATTGTGTGCAGCAGATAAGTATGATTGTACCAGCTGCATGAGATTCAAAGGACTTGAAGATTTGAACATTTCTACCAGCGATCATCCAAACTAAAATGAGTAAGTTCCTAATGAACCAGTAAGCTAGGATATGAAGACAACCCAAGAAACATGAAGATCATCATGGCTAAATTAGAAATTAGACTTACACATGGTGTTGGGAAACCTATATACAAGCACCTAGCACCATGAAGTATATCAATTTAATAAGTGGAATCATCTAATCTCCAAGCACAACGGATCTGAATAAGCAGAGGATGCATATCCATAATTTTTTTTTGATGCTAAAATCATAGTTAAGGATGAAATTTTTAAGAAAATATATGTATCTGAGGATACATATTTGCATCTGTACTCTTCAAAGTAAAGCATATTCTTATAGGACAACAGAAGGCTTGATTAGACTAAGGTCATTTAGTGGAGACATCTCTTCTGTGAATTACAGGCTTAATATAGCCTAATTTCAGTCAGTTGTTATTTAAATTAAGCTATGGCTCAATTCAAGGTTGATCTCAAAGGGCATAGTTTATGTGAACCATACAATGGTTGTGTATCTTATTTATGGGAATCAATCAACAGGTTTTTATGCAATGAATGCAGATATATGCATAGGATATTGTGCCAATTTAAACACCAATAGTGGGTGCCCTCAGCCAACCGACGATAACTGATCCTATCCATGACATGCTAATTATACTTTGAAATAATAATTAAGCCACTTCAATTAAAAGCAAAATTCGAATTCCGAAGCATACCTACCATGCAAGACATCCTTGAATTATGGAGCTTCATGAAACGACATCCCAAACACCCATTCCATCGAATACCTTCCGAGCGCTTCAGGACATCCCACTAAGAGAGGGCCCGCCAACGTAGAAATCCAGCAAACGCCCCGCATTTAAGGCCGGCGCATAAACCATTTCACCGAGTCGCAACACGGAAACTCGGCGATAGGTTTTGAGAACAAGCGGATGGGTGGAAGTCCGAACCGGGGAACGCACGGATAAGGGAGTTCCAAACGAAGAACGGGGCAGGCATCGGCGACGGAGAGAGAAGATGAGCTTGGAAGCGACGAATGGGTGGTGGTCGAGGGCGGCTTTGGGTAGGAACTAGTGGAGTTGGAGCAGGTGGACGAGGGAGGCGTGGTGGCGGGACGCCGAAAGCATCTTTGGGTCGGTCGGGGGCAAGAACGAACCGTAGACCCGATTACCCGCTTATTCGACATGAATCCCACCGTACAGCGATGCGGATTCCTAATCTCAACCTGATAACCCGTTTATTCGGCTTGAATCCCACCGTACAGCGATGCTGATTCCTAAGCACCTTTCTGTCGTTTACTACATATATTCATGAACTAGAGCACCTGCTTTCGGTAACCCGTCTCGTATACTGTCTTTTGATTGGTTAAATCGGGCCGCTGTGGGACGGGTCCGCCAAAGTAGGAGATCGTAAGTCATCTAGGGATCGCGGTAGGTGTTGGGTCGTGGCGAGTAGCGAATGGTCAAATTGGGCCTGTTGTTGACTGAGTCGATCTGGCCCAACACCAACGTCATCCAGTCCACTGTCATTCGGGAAAGACTTCAAGAGTCGGCTCGAGGCGGTCGGTTCGGGCTCGAGTTGGCCTCCCACCGGCGGACAAAAGGTGAGTGTGAGTTAGGCCGGGACGCCAGGTCATCTTAAGGTTATCCTCTCTCTCTCCCCCTCGGGGGCTTCGTGGAAACCCCCAATTTTGGTCTTCGGTAGTTCGCGATCGATCTCTTCCTCCATCGACCGATCGATCACAAGGAGAAGGGGAAAGGCGAATTTCTTCCTTCCCTAGCTTTTCGATTTCGATCGCTTCAATCCTTGCGAATCCCTAGCGAGCGGAGAAGGTTTCTGCCGATTGCGAGCTGATTCGAGGGTTTCTTTCTGGTGAATTTGAAGGTATGGAAGCCGGAACGGGTGGGGTTTCCGGGAGTTTCTGAGTTGATAATGGTCGGATCGCGAGCGCAGTGGCTCGATTGCATGGGTGAAGAATGCGGGAGCTGCGGAGCGGGGTGCGTCGAGGGGGCCGTGCTCCACCGCCGCCGCCGGTAGATCGTACGTTGCGGAACACGAGGGCGCGGGCTGCCTCGAAGAAGCCGGAGGTTGTAGCGGTTGCGGCTGGGGGTAGCCGGCGGGTGAGGACCAGGGCCGCGGAGGCGCGGGTGGCCGTTGCCGCGAAGGGGAGGCAGAGGGCGAGGTCGGCCAAGGGGAAGTTGGTTTTGATCGAGGAGGGGGAGGGGAAGAAGTCCGATCAATTGAAGGAGGTGGTGGTGGTGGAAGAAGAAGAAGAAGAAGAAGAGGAGGAGGAGGAGGAGGAGAAAGGAAAGGGGCGCACAAAGCAACCGGAGGAAATAAGAGGGAAGGAAACGATGGGTGACGATAGTGGTGGATTGAGCGCCAACAGGGTTGTGGGACAGGAAGAGGAGGGGAACACTACACCATTCCCTGAAAAGGTACATCTTTCTTGTCTGTTCTATTTTGTTGGTGGAAGTTTTTGTTCTTCGTGCACCATGTTCTTATCTTTCTCTGTGAATTCTAGTTTGTTGAATTATACGTCATTGGTTCAGTTTTGTTTTTTTCCTTATCTTTCTCTCGTTTCTGTTATCTTATTTTAGTTTTTTATGTGATCATAAATAAAGCCTTTCTTCCTGCTTCAAAAAAGTGCTCATTTTTTGCTTACTCGGTGAATAATCTTCAGGCTAATGTATCAATAGTTTGATCCTCAGTCCAGTTTAGTGTGCATGTGTCATCGTTTAGAAATAAGACGGTTGGTCGTAATTTTGTTATTGCCATTTTGGTTGACTATATTGATCTTTTCTTCTTGGCTCTCCTCTCTGAGCTGTTTAATAATAGGGATTCCTATTAGTGGACACTGGCTGTAGCATGTTTTATAAATTTTGTAATTTTTTAGAGCAGTATATATTAAAACATGTTGCCCTTACATTTACCTTATCTAATGAATCTGAACTTTGTGGTTTCACCTTAAAACTGATCTGATTACTTCTTGCGGTTGTCAGAGCTATAATTTATACTTTGTGGTACAAGTTTTTGCAGATCTGTTATGTTTTATTTCTTTCATTGTATAATACAGGGAAAAATAGTAAAAGCACCTATTACTTCTATACATCTTCCTTCTAACCCATATGCATCTTCCTTCTCTTATTGTATCTTTTCCGGATAGAAACTGGACTAGCATAGGATTCTTGTTCTTCCGGTTCATCTTGATTTTGCCTCATTTTTCACTGACTACATAGTTTTTGCATTTTCCACACTTTTGTTTTGTATATTTCTTCAGATTCCCATTCTGAGGATCTTGATGAATAATCTATCCTACACTAATTCCCACTTTATCTGATGTATAAGGAAAAATAATAATACAAGTTGTTCCTGTTCATTTTAATTGTCTGTCTTCTAAGGAAAAGCACTGTGGTGGAAGCTGATTTAATTTTTTTTAGTTGTTTTGTTCATCATTTTTGTTCTAGAACTTCCTGGGCATAATATGCTGACTTGTTGGATTGTTTTGAGATAATTTTCAATTTCCGTTCACCCTCTCTTTATGCTTATCTTTCCCATATTCTTTAGTTAGTATAGATAGAAGTCAATATTTGAATCTCATTTTTTGCATTTGTTAGCAGCTGACCCCTAACAATTGGGACATTACGACTTGTTTTGTGTTTGTGTGTGTGGCTCTTCTTTTCCTTTTCTTTCTTTTACTAACTCACATCACTGGTTATTTTTAACGCCTCAACTTTTAGTGCATAGTGTCCTTCAGGCTCATGTGGTTTTCGATTCTTTGCTTCGCTGTTTATTCACTATTGACTCGGGATAATTTGCATCTTCTTTTGCAACTTTTTGGTTTAATCTTCTGAAACTCTCGGACGCATCGAAGCCTTCATGTAACACCCCCGATTAGTTCTACATCGGAAGTGGATAAGACTAAGATTAACTTATAAGGGTCTAGTAAGTGTACTACTATCAACTTTAGCTTAAGCATTTTGGCCAGTGGTTTGGACCAAATGAAGTTGATAGGCCAGTTAACCTATCAAGCCTGGGTCATGACATTTGGCATTAGAGCCGATGTAGTATTTAGGCATGGTGAGGGGACTCAAGTAGGAAAGAGCTACCCGTGAATGGAGTTAGAGGACTTGTCACTGCGTGAAGCCACTACTAGGTTACGTTTCACATGTACCATGCTAGGATTTGATCTGGGTTATGCTAGGCCTTTTTCCTTGACGAGAATATCAAGTCCTTGAGTGGGGGAGATTGTAACACCTCCGGTTAGTCCCACATTGGAAGTGGGTAAAACAAAGATTGACTTATAAGGGTCTGATGAGTGTACTACTATCAACTTCAACTTAAGTATTTTAGCCAATGGTTTGGGCCAAACGAAGTTGATAGATCAGTTAGCCTATCAGACTCAGATCGTCACACTTCAACTGATCCTTGGTTGCTTGAGTTATTGTTTTTGTTAATGGTTGATGCAGGTCTTTTGTTAACGTATATTATCCACAAAAGACTATACAACTTATGTTTTGGCATGTTTATGGTTATTTTTTTGTTGAATGGATTATCTGGGGAGCGGTATGAATAGCTTTAATTTTTTTCCTGTCTTTGTTTCAAAGGTGTGTAAATATGAGAATAAAGGATTGCCTTTATTTGGAACAATTTCAGGTGCAGATCGGTAATTCTCCAGTATATAAGGTTGATAGAAAGCTGGGCAAGGGTGGGTTTGGACAGGTTTTTGTTGGCCGTCGAGTCTCTGGTGGCATTGAAAGAACAACAGGTCCTAGTGCATTGGAGGTATTATTATTGGCTCTCTCTTTTGTTTATCTTTTTCTTGACGGAGCGGAAGCATTGATAAAGTATTTTTCATGTGTAGATATTATCTATCTTGCTACTTTATTTAACATTGCATCTGATTTACGAATTTATTTTGCTTAATAGGTTGCCATCAAATTTGAGCACAGAAGCAGCAAAGGTTGTAATTATGGTCCTCCTTATGAATGGCAGGTTTACAGGTTCGCCTTGAATTTCTCTTTGCACAGGTTATCTGATGTTCCCTTGTCTCTCATGTGGTCACTCTGAATCATTAATTTTGCCTTTTGGTCAGTGCTCTTGGGGGCAGTTATGGGGTGCCAAGGGTGCACTATAAAGGTCGACAAGGTGACTACTATGTGATGGTATGGTTTCTTCAATTTCTTGTGTGCATTCTTTTGCATCTGCCCATTAGATGGTTGGTCGTGCAGATGTCTTTACTTGCTTCATGTTACTTGTCAGTATACAACATTGTTCAAGAAACTGATATGGTTGCTACTAATTTGTCTGTAATCCACAGGTAATGGACATGCTAGGTCCCAGTTTATGGGATGCTTGGAATACTTCTGGTCAAGCGTGAGTATCTTTTCACTGTGATTACCAGCAGCCATTATGTTCATTCGACCTTTGATTTCCAGCAAATGACTTCTACAGTGATGTTTTCAGTTATCTACCTACTTCTTTGCACCTGTCATGTTTTGGTTGTGTGATCTTAATGCATATGTATTTGCACATTTTATCTAGTTGGTGTTCTGCTATTGAGTAAGATTGCTATATCTTCATATAAAATGGTCTGTAGTCAGTATTGTCTTTTGTGTACTAAGAGTGTTTTGAAATTTCTCAGGATGTCAACAGAAATGGTAGCTTGTATTGCTGTTGAGTCCATATCAATCCTTGAAAACATGCATTCAAAAGGGTACAAATGCAATCATACACTTACCCGTATATTCTTCTATTTGGAATTTGTGTTCCTTTCACGCAAAGCTGGCTTGTCTTGAACTAATTGAATACATTTTACTAGATATGTCCATGGAGATGTAAAGCCTGAGAACTTTTTGCTTGGTCAGCCGGCAACACCTCAAGAAAAAAAATTATTTCTTGTTGACCTCGGATTAGGTGAGTGAAGAACCTTCTGGTCAGCCAATGGCAGGCATCTCATACCTTCACCTTCCTTTTTATTCTTTGATTTTTTTAAATTTCTATGCACGCATATTTAAATTTTTTAGATGAATACCCCTTGCTTTAGTCCAGTTATATATATATATATATATATATATATATATATATATATATATATATATATATATATATATATATATATATATATTGCTTATGCTT